CCTGCGCGCTGCGTCACCCGCCCGCCGACCAATCCCCAGGCCGGCGGCAGGGGCGTGACCGGGCGATGCCACGCCCCTCTCCCCGCCCCCCGGAGGCGGGCACGACCAGCCCTAAGAAATAAACTACAACAAGTAAAAACCTGCAGACTCTTTTTATTAAATTCTCCCATTTCATCTGTACAGAAAAAAATGCACATTATTATGTTCAGAATCTCCGTAACATCTCAAAATTACACAGCATGGACATGTAAAAAAAAAAAACCAAACCAAAACAAGGACCGGCCAGGATTTATACACAGAAAGGGAAAACAATTTACAAAAAAAGTCTCATTAATGTCACATTTAAAAACAAAAAAAAGAGACTAAGTTCAAACAGCTTCTGCTGTACAACAGGAATCCTCTGGGTCTGTTTTGTACACTGTCAGGGGAGGCCTGCAGTGCCCTCACGGGCAGTGAGGGCGTCCTGGGGTACCCCCTCACCTCCCCGAAAACCCAGCTCTGAGTTCTTTGATACACTCCCCAATCCAACACAAACGTTAGTCACAGCTTCTGATCACCTCCCTTCGGCACCAGTGTCTACAGGCAAGCCATACCTTTGCCTTTTCCCCTAGTTCAGTATTTGCCAAGGCGAGAGCTACTCAAGAACTTCTACTCAGTAAATACATGGGGGCAGAGGGGTGGGATTTTTGGGGTGCAGCCGTTCACTCAAGAAGAGATCTCCTGCTTTCGGCCAGCTATGGAAGGATATTTGGGTGTTATGGAAGGAAATGTGGGTGTTGTGGAAGGAGAAAATGGGCAATCTGCCTTTGGCCAATGAGTGGCAATATGTTATCATCACTCCTCCCTGTCCTGGAGAGGCAGCCGGTAGAGTGGGTACAGCACCGAACCCCACCAGTCCAGGACAAACAGCACTACCAGCTGTATTCTTTCTCTCACGCGTGAGATTTGGGTCCCCTCTAACCACGATTCAGGTCTGGCCTCCAAGCGGGGAGACTGCACAAAGATCAGTACCTGGGAGCTGCCTTGAAGATTTTGAACCCCAAAATTAAGAATGTACTTTTATACAAACCAACACTACAGCTGTTTGAGTCCACAGAGCTATGTTTTAAATAGGGACAGAAGTGCTAGATGAAATGTTCCGGTTTCATACCACACTCATGCACTCACACACACCTCAAAACTACCTTTTTTAGAACAAAACTGATAAAGTAACAAAAAAAAAAAAGTACTACAATCTTTCAACTAAATAATAAAGTTGTGTTTTAACAGAAATCACCATCCAACTTGAACACAACTCCTCTACAATATTATGAGATTTGAGTGATCCCTCTGGCTTGTCATGTTTCTTCCCTCTGTGCCTACCTGCAGTTTCTGTACTTAAGAGACATTCACTCCTCTCCATTATTTTTCATGGAATATGCTTACTGTGGATTCTTTCAGAGCAAGATTTATTATATTTGCACAGATTTAATGTCATATTCTGAGTGAAATGTTTAACTTTTGTTACAAAATTATTTGAACTGCATTAGGACTTTTCCAGCCCCTTGCAGTGACACAGACATACGAGTAACTCAAGTCAACTTGCTGGACAGTACATGAAGTGCCAAGAATTTTGTTCCACCCAGAAGAGTTACTCCAGCAGCCTGAACAACAGAAGCAAGGCAGCAGAATCCCAAGTTGAAACTCAGCAAAAGGACTTGATTAGACCCACTAGGTAAACAATAAATAAGCTTATTAAGGTCAACAAGAATGAACACTAACGGACTAGCAGGAGTGAAGTAATGAGGTGCACATCATACACAGTCCCCTTAGCCATGTCATCTAAACACATGCCATCATCTCAGAAACATAACTTGTTAACCCTTGCAGTAGCAGGGGGGAAATGCAGGCCGCATGCCTTGCTAGGTCCCAGTCATCTAGCTCTTCCATACACCCCCAGGAGCATCAGCATCACCATTTCTAGAATAAGCTCTCTAAGAGGTTTTGTGGTGACAAGGAATCAAAAAAACCCCCTCCACCACCTCCCAAATTGCATTCTGTGGAAGGCAGCCTTCTCCACCAAGAGATCATGAAGACGAAAGGGTACCCCAGGTTCTGCCACATCAACACTCTTCTCTTGGCTGATCACAGCTATTTATAGCACTCTCGAACAGATGAGAGAACTTAAAAAGGCTTCCTCGAGTTCAAGGCAACAGCAGTGTTTCTTATAACCATTTCTTTCTTTCCTCACCAATAGCAAATGGTTACCTGCAGGCAAGATGTTGTGTTGGCAACAGCACTGGCAGGTTATTTTTGGAAGAGTACTTGTGTGGGCTTCTGTGCTTTTGAGACCTCTAGAATTTTAGGTATACAGGAAAAGGAGGAGGATGTTTCAAGACTGGGACTGATGGATTTCTAGTCATGAAGAAATCAAATTTAGTCACTAGCAGTGGCAGGAGGTTCCATTTTAAAACATGAAAATAAGGATGCTCAATGATAAAATGGCCTGGACCCTTCACCAGTGTCACACTTTTAAATAGTGGATCTGTGCCCTTACAGCGACAAAGGTCAGCTGAGAAATTTATTTAGAAATTTGCTTCAGAGGGCCTCCAGACACATGCCTGTAACATCACCCCAGAGCACTCGCACTGAAACCAAATTCTCAGGTGAGCCTGCTGACAGTCAGAAACACCAACACCACCAGACACCTAACACAGTGCTCCAGGCACCCTTTCCTTAACCTTCTCCCAACTAAAAAGCAAAAAAAACCCAGACAGCCTTATAATTTAAAAAAGTCACCTTCAGAACTGAATAGGGTTTACATTCAGAACTGTGGCTACAAATCTACAATTTTCACTGCAACGTCTTTTGGAATTTAGTGAAAGATGCTATTTCTAGACAATAAACCATCTAATTAGGCTTTTCAAGCTAATCAGGTTACAAAATGCCTTTTCAAAAAGTCACAACAGTTTAAAAAAAAAAAAAAAAGCCCTCCAATAGCAATTTAATTATGCCTGATAGACATTTTGAGAAGCAGGACTCCTGCCAAGCAAGCAAGGCTGTTCAAAGATCCCACTTCCCTTGCCGGCAGCTCTGCAAACACACCCATCCCTACAGCAATAATTTTAGCACTCTGTCAAGTGAAACAATATACACTCATAATTGCCAAACTAACATTTGCGATGTTATACACCTGTGCTACCTCAAGAGACACAATCAACCATTCCTCTTCTGCTCCATTTCACATTGACAGAGGGCCAGTTAAGCTCCATTAGCACCAGGGAAAAGGGGTGAGAAAAAGAATAAAGGTTTAATTTTTGTTCTGTTCTGCGTAACCACTGAACTGCAATCTTATCACGCACTTCTCCACTGAACCTTCACTGCTCAGACTTTCACTACTGCTTGTCTTGTGTTCATAATACTTTGATATAAAACCACAAGTGCTTGTGAAAGACTCACTAGCATAGTGAGTCTAAAACCGTATCGCTAAGTTTGCTGTCCATCCTCAGAGTGGGATGAAGGTACATTTGCAAAAAAGCTTCAGTTGCAGCAAAAGCTCACAGTATTTTGTTTATGCCATTCTGTACAAGCAGCATCATCAGAATCAGCTGGCACACACTCCAAAGGTGTCTGAAAACTATCTCCAGTTCTTCTAGAGAACAATGCAGAGAACTGGAAATGTCAGGTCTTACCTAGCAGTGTGCCAAGTGGGAAAATAAAGTTATGTTCAAGCATCAGCCTAAGTAGGACCGTTTCAGGCACATGATTTTTACTGCAGCACACGCAGGTGAGTCCATCTAAAAGGCAAATAAAGGATATCATACTGTACACAGGGACTCTCGTGCAGTCACTTCCTAGATTTCACTCAATGTTTTTCAGCCAAAGCACATGGCCACGCCTCCTTGTACTTGAGGAACAAAGATGATAGTAAGAAGAGGCCACAACTACTGGTGCAGCTTTTCTAAAACACCTTTTTCAGGCACTCAGGTGTGAGTATCAGGTTCTGAAGTGTGACTATATAGAGTGAGCACACACATTGATGGTAACAATGTGGAAGCTACTTTTCTTAAAGATCCAGATGTTTCTGCCTTTCATACAACACTATCACCCTCCCATCCACTCCTGGTTGGCCTTCTGGACCAGCACCTGTGTCCTACCTCCCAGAAAACATCAGTTATCACTATCAATTGTTGTTGTGGAAATGAAAAATATTCTTCAGTGCTACCATTCAAACCATTAAGACACAGACAGGCCAGTTACAAACCACTGCACTAGCCCACAAAGTAACCGTTTTACAGATAGAGCATGTTGAGTGTTCAGTTGCTTTCTGAATCACTGACAGAGCACTGTACCACCAGCGTGTCAATACCCTCTGCAGATAGTTAATTTGGAAGAGTAATAGCTTAGCAGCAGCAAAGTAAAATAAAAGGAGTGTTAGAATTTTACTGCATCATCGCTAATAAAAAAAGTTGACCGAGTAACTGATCAGGGCACTTAATGCCCACTGACAGCAGCGCTGTACGCCACTGACAGGCTCTACACACCTCACATCTACACCGTGTCTTTAATCTACTGATATACAAGTTGTACAGCTCGCATAAGTATTTGATCCTGGTCAGTATTTTATTCTATCTTGCAAGTGGCAGAGGAAGAAAGGGAGGGCATCTTTTCAGCCAAAAAAAATCCACAGTCACAAAAGCAGGATATTCACTAGAAGGTGACACCAGCAACTGGTGTCCTTAGGTTGTCCAAGACTATGCTCTGAAGATGCTTTACATGAGATGAGCAAGATGTCCAAAACAAGGCCAACTGTGGTGTAAGATGCAATTTACCCTTTAATTTCCTGCCTCAATTTCACCCAGCCACAGAGGACGACTAGATTTCAGTATGAACCATTACCTAAATCATATAGTCGGTATGCAGATATATGTCTTTCTTTAAAAATTTACTTAAAAACTGCTTGAGCTGCAGGTCATATCAGTCTGGTTTGAAAAGTGAAGGCAGTTCCAACAGTACAATAGAGACTTGTCTACAGGCAGGTAAACGAGAGTCTGCTAACAAAGGGGTAACAAAAGCTGCTGGCTGGGCTGCCAATGTTGCACACAAACTTTCATAGGATGAAGATGCTGTGGATGAGATCCAGGATGGGAAAACTGAGCCAACACCTGCTGCTGTTCTAAATTTTTTTTTTTTTTTTTTAAATTCTCCTCTCAGAAGAGGGGTTGGGTAGACTATACAGAGGAGGGCTGTACAAAACTGGGCACTGGGCAGGCATTTCTTCAGCAGGCAATCCAGGCTCTACCTGTCCTTGAGCTCTCTTGTCACCCGCTTGGTGATGCGTCCACACATCAGGCCGATGAGGAAGAGTACACAGATGCCAACCGTGATCACAGACAGTATGTAATTCTTGGACGGAGAGGTCATAACTTGCATGGCAAGGTCAGAAAAGCCTTCTGCTGGGGCAACCTGGAGGTGAGAAGGGAATAAATGAGCCAAGCTGTGCTTTCCATGTGACCTTCAGCCTTGGCATTCATCAGATTTAGTCTCTGGTACTGCTATTGCCTCCCATCACATCAGACTGGCCTGAGCCACAAACAAGCATGCCTGCAATGGTTCATCTGGAGGCACTTCTGCTCAGGAGACAGCTTTATAACAGGAAGTTCTGCTGACCCTATTTTATTGCCCCAGACATCCTCTACAGGACACCAACCAAGCCCTCTGTGCACAAGAGGCAGTTTAACTCTGCACTGTTGAGGAGGATGCATCTCAGACACTGAGTGAAATATACAAGTTCAAAAAAGGAGACCCGACTTCAATTTTTCTGGACCAAACTCAAAATGCTAAACATCAGACACAAGAACTTCATTACAGTTGAAGTTTTTCATAAATAGCTTGCAACAGAAAGATCCAATGCAAGAAAAAAAGAAATCATTTATATATTCACCTTTGCGGCATAGCTCCACATTTCAATACGATCGTTAAGGCGTTTCTTGCATTCAGGCTGCAACCTCACACGCTTATCTTCCAGAGCCTCCATTAGGCATGACATTTCTGTAATGTGCAGAAGATGGTGTTACAAAACAGAAAGAGTGGCTTCAACATGTTATGGAAAGGCTGCTGAAAAGGGACACTTCAATTCTCATAAAGGCCGATGGTTACACAGCTTTCTAAACAGACTAGCCAGCCTGATAGGCTATATACAAAGCCCTGTTGCAACCCTGAAGCTAGCAACTTCAATAAGATTAATGATTAATACTGCATTTTAAGGCACAAGCAATTTTGACTTCCAAAAAGAAATTACAGTACATATCCAAGATGTAATTCATGTGATTTACGTGAAATTTTATAAAGTATTACAAATTTGCACCTTCAATGAGCTGTTCTCTAAATTCTGTGCCACTACCCTTTAGAGAGAACTAAAATCAAATTCAGCTTAGGACAAAACACAGTGTTATCTCTCCTTAGGCTTGTTAGGAGTTTCGTTTGATCAACAAAATATTTTGGAAACGTTAGCTTCCTGAGTTTTCACACAGTCCTGTGAAAGGAAATGGGATCACAATGTTCTGGGTGCCAACAGAGTGTCTTGGCTAACTCATAAGTTCTTTTATATGCTCATATCAGACACTGACATAAAATTTTGTATTTTGTACTTATGCTGCCTTACTTGAATCCTCCCTAATTGGATGCTTTCTGCTTTGCAGTGAAGAGTTACTTTTGTTCACAGCAAACAGGCTGCAAACTTTAAACTAACTCCAGACTTTTTAAACACAATTGTCAGTTCAAACACTCAAGAGGCAGATCCCTCTCTAAGCTACAGACTTCTTCATACCTTCAGTACAAACACATCAGAATACACATCAAAAGAATGATGACAAAACAGAATTTCAGAAAGGACTCAGTAACTCACATGAAATACAATGATTAGGAAAATACTTGACTGCTATTTTTAAAGCCAGATAAATTCAGAATGATGGGAAAGTTCAGAACTTTTTTCCCCACTAGATTTCCTTAAACAGCCATACATACTATTCAGCTAGCTAACATAATAGCAGTAAGAAAGTGCAAGAGCTTGACCTCAAACAGGAAAAGAATGGGTTAGAAAATGCTTAATGATGCTTCAAGTGGTCTGCACCTGCTGAACTCAGTCTTGGAGGACAGAATTGATGAAGTTTCAAAGCCTATAGGTTGCTACATGAACTTAGAAAGCATAGTAAAGATTATCTACCCTCTGTAATACTGGAAAAGAAAAAACTGGTATGTTTAAGCAGGGAAGAAAAAAAAGATCAAAGGACTTCAGTTTAATTTTATCTGTCAAAAATACTGAAACAAAGAAGCCAACCATGGACAAAGACTGACATAAAGAAGGACCAAGGAGATTAGCTAAGAATGAATCTTGTGAAACCAAACCAATTTGCTTCTGCTGTTAGAGAAGCAGCTTAGTTCTAGGGAAACTTTTGATACAGTCTGATGTAATATTGTCATAAGTAGGCTTGGGAGCTGTATCTTGTGTGAAGCTGATACAGGATGGGAGATAAACTTCACTGAAAAATGAGCCCATGTATTTCAGTCCATGTGTATTAAGAGCTCATTTTCAAAGATGTTTAACTGAGGAGGAATTTTATAGAAGGGTTATGGATCTGGTATCACACACTATTGTCAGTAACCATATGAATGATGGAATGTAAAATACACTCATTAAATTTGCAGATAAGGCTGCAAGGATATTGTATCAGGATTGAAGAACAGGTTCCTCCTTGGACATGAGGAAGGACTTCTTGATACTCATCTTCTACCACCTCTGCAGCTGTTCCACCTTATTACCTACAAAAGACTGGTGGAAATATCTTGTACTTAAGATAAAGTCGGTAAGAAAATGCAGCTTAAGGCTCTTGGGACTGAGAGGTTATACGAGTAAAGCACAAGCACTTACGGCGTCCTCTCCCTGGTGGAATGGCAGCACAGTGGTGTTTGATGTCTAGGGCACAGGCTGTGTGGAGCACTGGGTCAACAAATATATCTGCTTTGCTTTCTTTCAGCATGTTGAGTACTTCCTGGGGAGGGGGAAATACAAGTATATCTCAAAAAAAGGAGAGAGAACAAACCTCATACCACTTAATGTTTCTGTTCATCTTTGCAAATCCAGGATCATGAGAAAAACCACCACTGCTTCTGAATAAGGCTATGAATGCCGATTTAGGCTGGATTAAATGTCCTGGTTTATAAGGGTTACCAGAGTTATCTTCGTTACAATACCACTATTAATCTAAAACACAAGGTCAATATGCCAGGTTTACTTCACTTAGAACTGAAATAAAGTGCCACAGCCATAGGGCAATTCATACAGCCCTTGATCACAGCCAGTGCCTAGGCCATACCCAGCACTCAGGAAGCCTGCAACGGAGATGGCAACAGAGAGCAGATTAGTAACAAGAAACTTTGGCAACCATAATCAAGAAAGGATCCAAGCCTGAAATGCAGGCATTGTCGGCACAATTTTCACTGGCAAATTGAAACTGAATTGAATTGCTGCAGGCCAGAACTGAGCTGTGTAAGGAAATCTTCAGAGCTCTGGCTTCATACTAGCTAGAACATGGCCTGGGCTGTAGTCTGGAAAAAGATCAGACTTCTGCAGGGATGGGATGCCTTTTAGAGCACAATCAATTTATTTCCTTTACCTTCTTGCACATTTCAGTTTTTATTTTCAGCAGATTCACTTTCAGACATTCTTCCACCTGCCCAGTCTGCTCCTGAGCTGCTGCTTCTTCTGCACACAAGCTGGAAATCTATTTAGAAAAACATATTTTAACATAAGTAGTTCACAACAATCATTCAGGCTTTTAGCACATTTGTATCTCAATACATTAGTTCATCACCGGGTGCAGCTAGAGAACATGATGAGACACTTCCCCCTGCTCCGAATCCCCAGAGCCAAAGGCGGCCTGGCTCATGCAATATGCATACCCTTTAAAACCCAACAGCAAGAAGTCAATATTGCTGTATTGAGGAGAAAGGCAGGGAGAAAAACAGCACAGAAATAATGTTAAGGTAGGAAATAAGCAATACTTGAGGCACAGCTGATTTGGCTATCAAAAGTGAAAGCTCAAAAGTCTGACTGCATTCCAGTTAAGGCTGACAAGACCAGAGAACTAACATTTTTTTTTTTTTTTAAACAAGAGGAAAGCAGTATTTTTCCACAGTCACAAGTACTGTTGAGATTCCAGATGAAAAGATTAATTTCATATTAGCACTGCACAGTAAACTGCAATTCTTGAACACTGGGCAAAAGTCACAAGCAAAGAACCTGACTAGCTAGAAGCAGTTCGGAGGGTTTTTTTTTTTGTTTAATTATCAGGAGCCTTCACATTTTAAGAAACAAAAATCTGCTACGTGAAGGGAGTTTTCATCCTGAAAAAGTAGCTGTGGAGCTACTTCTCCTACCTCTTCAGAGCAGTGCATCTGGAGTTGGGGATCCAACCGATAATCAAGAGCTGATTCCTGGATAATCACACGAATTTGGTCCTCACAGTCTGGAGAGAGACGCTATTGAGCGGAGAAAGTCATTAACCCACTCAATGACCTTTATTTTCATAAATCAATCACCTTTCATTTTAACCTGCATATTACTTGTATAGGAGCATAAAAACTCATTTATGTACAGCCTGTTACACACACATTGCACAGACCACAAGCCTAAATTTGATTTGTTATTCAATGAGTGTTGCTCCGCACCGATTCTCATTTGCATGCACGGGCTCTACTTACCTGGTCTGCATATTTCAACTTCAGGCATGAGATGACTTGCCCTTCTAACTCTGTATCATCCTTGGCCCTATTCAGGATATTTTGGCAGAATTTTGGTATATCTGCTTTGCAGGCCTTCCTGAGCACTGGATTTAAACGGTAATCTAACCAGAAAAGATGACAGAACTTCATTAGAGTACACATCTCTTCAGATTACAGAATATAACACTCCAAAAGAGACTTCACAAATTTTCTGTATGCACTGTAGCACCAGTAAATTTAATTTTTTGGGGGGAAAAAATCTGTTGTGAAAAAATACTATTTTTTTCAGGAATAAAGTGGATTCAAAAAACACATGCTGACCCTCAAGAATTTGACTGAATAAAGTCAGTGTGTGCACTGTCAACCATGAAGGACAATAAAACAAAGCAAATATTCTTTCAGCCATGCAGACCACTCAACAGCTCAGGCAGGTAAATTAAGTTTGTTTCAAACGAGGATACCTGTATTCTGTGTAATCTGGCGCTTGGTAATCATTTGCTTGCATTTAGGATCCATCACTTCACTGTTCTTGTTTTGTTTCAAACACTGCAACATATTTTTTGAGTCTGCTTCTGGACAAAACCGCTACAAAAAAAAACCGCAAAAGCCCCAAGTTTCACCACTAAGCACTTAAAAGACCCACAACTATATTAATGGGAGAGAACCACCATCTGCCCAACCCAGAGGTATACACACACAGTTCCTAGCCCCAATACCCCTTATTAAAAAGAGGAGTGCTACTCTCTAAATTGACTATGGGCATGAATATCCCTGCTTATGGAGTGAGCACTAAGCCATGCAGTCCTGACTAGCTTCTAGGCACCAGCTTGTGTCAGCAGTATCAAAAGAAATTTGCTTTTAGTTTCTATTCTTAAGTTACAGCACACTTTGCAAGAAATACCCACCAAATTATTTATTGGTCTCATACTCAATTACTTTCACTCCCCTTTATTTTAGAAACTAAAAAGGGAATCTTTTTAAACCTACACACATACTGCTGTTCTGCATAAATCATCTGGCTGGACAAAGCAACAGGTAAAAGACTTCATTAGTAACACTCAGGACAAAGTAAGACCACACAGAACAAGAAAGCAGAGGAGCACTCACTGATAACTCATTTGCCCGTTCTTGCCCTGAATTCAATAGTCCAAAGTGAACCAGCTTACCCAAAATTCAGACCAAGGTACTAATTGTTTTTGTTGGAAACTAATTCTGCAGGTGTAAGATAAGGCTGTTGCATCTTCTAATCCTCACCATTTTAGTGAGATTACAGGTCTTTTTTAAAGAGCATGAGCCTATACTGGAGAACAATAAATTCTCAAGATGTTCTGCTTCGGCCACAATATGGCGTCAGGGTACTGCATACAGACCACACTTGCTAGTGTATCAGGGCTTGCAATTCTGACTACTGTGCAAGCATGTGTTGTATTAACAATCACTGATGCTTTCCACATGGTATCACCTTAAGATAGCACTTCTAATTTTAAGCTTTGCATAATTTTGCCTGCTTTATCACTCTGATGAAAGTGAGTATGCTCTGAGTCAGCAGTAAACTGAAGATGTTACTCCTCTCTGTAATCTTAACTTCACCTTTGCTAAAAGCCAATCCAAATCCAAACCAACTGCAGGAAAACTGTATTAGAAGCCTCAGTGCAGCCTTCCTCCTCCATTCTGCAGACAGTTGGGAAGACAAATTTACTAGTGCACAGGCTTTGATCACATATTTGGAGGAAGTAAAAGTTGAAAGAGAAGAGCCCTGAAGAAACCTCAGCCTGATTCAGAGTTAAGAAACAGACTGCTCTGCAAAAAACCAGTCATGCTGCTGAAACAACACAGCGGTCTTTTAATAAGCCTTTCCGGGAAGCTCAAAACTGACAGAGCTCTTATATCCCAACCTCACCCTCTTAAATGAGCACACTACCATTACCTTTATCATCTGCTTGCAGACTCTCATGAGTGTGTAGTCCAGTTCTGGATCCATCATCTCTGTCTCCTGCAGTTTAAACACCTTTTGGTGGCATCGGGTACTCAACTGCTTCTTGATTTCCTTCAAGCATTCAATAATCTACAACACAGTATTACAACCATAAAAGAGTGTTGATATGATTCTGTCCTATGCTGCTCAAAATGCACAGCTATGTGTTCCCCTAATGCCATCTTCACCTGATTTGTGCAGTTAAGTCCCCAATGACAAGATTTTATCAAAAGTCATTACTAGTGCTTATTTCCAGGACTTGCTTTAAGCTCATCTTTTCTCACAAAGATTTAAGGATATGAAGAAGGTCACCTGGCCTTCCTCCAAAACACCAGACCTCATCTTGCAGACATTATGCATAAGTAGTCTTGAGCAATATTTGCAGTAATCAGCTGCTAAAAGCTTAGAACTAGCACTAACTGAATAATGAAGTGCTCACAGCATTGCATTCACCCAAGATTAATGCTTATGAACCAGTGGAAAAAAAAAAAAAAATTTGATGTTCCAAAATACTGCCGAAAGATTTTGGTGATGCCAAAATGAAAATCTAAAGCTGTGCTCACAGGGGCAAAAGTGCTCCTCAAAAGTTTTCTGAAATGAAAGTACAAATTAAATTATAAATTATTAATAAAATCCATTACCTGAGCATTGCCATAAGGCACGTTCTGGCAGTAATTCTTGATGTCACTTTTACAAGCCTCATACAGTTCTGGTTCAAGTCTGATATCCTCAGTCTGCAGGATAAATTACAATATGAACTTTTAGGTAGGACTCTAAAGACTATTTTACTTTGTTAATATATTAACCAGAGCCATCTATTCACAAAAACCAAGCAACTCTCACATCAGGCAGGTCTCTTTCTTTGAATTTAAGGGTCTCGGGTGTGGGAAGTGATATGAGTGGAAAACCAACTTTGCAAATACATGCAGAGGATCACCTGGCTTTTTATACTGAAGAAATGGTTTAAACTGAATTTTAGAGCTGGCAAGTTGTTTCCACTGCTCCTCCCAACAGGGCATCAACACAAATGTCCAAGACCACTAAAATCTTACCTATTAATAGCCACCTATCTATCAGGTAACCTGGAGGATGTGAATGAAGTTTCCTGCTTTTAGTGAAGCCCAGCATTTGAATTTTTCCATACAAAGGCAAGCATGCTGCCTCTTCTGATATGGGCCTACTTAAGGTGATGCTTTAATGCTCAAACAATATCTACTGGACAAAGACCTTAAATGTGTATTGCTGCAAGCACTGCAGCAGGAAGCTGAGAGGCAGCCTTGCCTACCAGAACACATACTACTCCTATTTATCCACTGAGGAACTTAGAGCAGCTGGAGTCAAGTTGCTTCATCTGTGCTTCTTTCGTCAGTCTGTAAAATGAAGCTTTTATTCTCTCCTAGAGGACTTTTAAGGACATCAGCATGTGCAGCACATTGCTATCTAACATTAAATATAATCACTTCTAGCTGAAATTCCAATGACCATTTAGCTTGCCTTAGCCTTCATGAGACTATATTTAAGGCATTAGACAATCATTACTTTCACTGTGAAGGGCAATTGAGCCTCACATTGTAAGAAGAGTGGAAAAAATAAATTGGATACATCTTACAAATGAGCTGCTTTTTTTCCAGGGTGGACAAACCGGGAAGCTTTAATTGAAGGACCTTGCTAGAAGAGTGGGCAGATCAAGTGTTTCATGCATGTTTACCATCTCTAGCTCCTCAACACGCAGCTGTTTGCGGCACTTCAGAGAGACCCTGTGCTCCTTGGCATCCTGCAAAGTATCATTGCGCACAGTTGTGCTCAGACAGATCACTACATCCACCCTGCGAAAAAGAAAATAGCTTTTTATTTGTATACCCTCCACTTAGACCAGCCAAGACTGGTGTTAGATCACAACATCACAAACTGACCCAAATAATCCCAACACAAAATAAAGTCCTTGTGCATCTATGCTTACTTCTAGCTGGAGTACAGCTCTATGTAGAGTACCTGGATCACAGTTAAAACCTGTATCTGATGCTATCTAACTGGAGGCTAGACCAGCAGACAGGAAGATATTCAAAATCCCACCACAGCCCTGCCCAGCAAGATCTCTGCTCTTACATCACATGAAAACTTTAGAAAAGCTTTATTTAATCTGAGAAATAGGTGCAGGTGAATCCCTACATGGCATTGCAAACAATCCTTTTGCATTATGGGAAGGGCATTTATATCATAAAATGGAAATAGACTTGCTATCCACGAACAGGGTTGACCTTGTGTGTACCCTGACCTTGTGTGTAATTTAGCCTTACGTCACTGCAGTAGGCCATTAAAAAACCCCTTATATTGAGGTGAATAAACAAGCTAAAACAAGTGGGATATTTTCCCTCCCAGATCAGCAACTGGAACAACAGTAGCCAGTATCTAAGATGACAGTAAATCTAGCAAGGATATAAAACAACTTGGGACATGCAGTCCACTGATCGTGACCATTAGCTGTTTTCAGAGAAAGAAAAATAAAAAGAGGACAGGCTTGTACGTAAGAGTACAGAAGTCATTCTAAAGAGGCAGGCAATGCCTCTAACTTAAGCATCTGCAGAACACAGTCACTAAGGGAAAACACACAAAACAATCAGCCTTTAAAAGGAAGTCCAGCGTTTTCTCTCCGATCATGAAATATCCTCTAACTTCATTACATATTTCTACATTCAGATTGCTGTTTGGTCAGGTGCTACATACTTCTTTTTGATGTTGGGGCAAAGTTTCAGCACATCCTCCTTGCAAGCCATTTTAAACTTGTATGAGAACCTAAAATCTTTCATTTGAACCTGCAAGAAAGAAATGAGGGGAAAAAAAACAAACAACTTTGGTCACCTGGAGGAAAAAAAAAAGATGCTGCCTAAAAGAACAGCAATTGAATTACACAATCAGCAAATGCTTTTGTCCACAACTTATCACTAATGGGGAAGCAAGGGGGACACTGCACTGCTGAAGAAGCTGGCACCTATCTACCATATGCCAGGAAGGAACGAGGACCTGAAAATAAATTATCTCCAGTGACCATTTATGACCAGGCATGCAAGTACCACTATCTGAATTCACAAGAGCACTTTAAATAGTGAGAAATCAATCTCAAAGAAGGAGGGGTTTCATAACTAGCTAATTCCTGTCAACATCCTCAATGAACAGAACAGGCTTCCGTTGATAGTGGAGAAAAGTGCTGCTTACCAGCTGGAAATGAGTAACTCCTATTGCACATTTTTCATTCATTTCCTTCTGGTGTTTGTTCTGTATTAAACACTCCATCAGGTCTCCAGAATCAATCTGGTTATCTGCAACCTCCTGAAGAAGAGATGAAAGGCTTAAAAACGAGCTACTCTCACAAGTCATGATTTTTATCCTCCTTTAGCCCACTGTGACCAGGAAATAATGGAATTTACAGTCTCACTCTAATGTGAGAGCTTACACTCACCATTAACTGACCACAAGAGAGTTGTACCATGCAAGTATTCATAGATATAGTCCAGAAAAGAATCATCACAGGCACATGCCCACTTTAGACTCAGGAGAACATACTGCAGAGCCTCAATGCTTACATGAAGTATTACAGTTAGCTGCCTTCATTCCTATGTAACTACTCAATCCTAGAGCAATGAAAGAAATTATTTCAGCAATGCTAGCAGCTGCACAGAGCAGAGTGGCTAGACACCCTGCTCAAAGGCAAGGGGAAGAAAAAAAGTTTCATTTTTAACCCACTGTAAAGAGTGCTTTTTTCTCCAGCTACATGGCAATTTTCATCTCCAAACTCTAGCTTTTATGCTAGGGCTCTGACAACAGCAGGAATACTACGAGGAATACTAACAATTTTTGGTTTAGGGTGGCTTTTTAATTAGAGACTTTTGCAACTGCTTATGTTTGATTTTACTTTTGAAGTATAGCATGAACACCAAGAACTAATACTAAAAAAAATCTCTAACCTTTCCCACACAGTGTTTTTTCCCCCCAAAGATATTTATACTATTAAATAGCACTCACATGACAGAATGTCTGGATAATGGGCTCACATGCTCTCATCAGCAAGGCTTCAATTTGAATGTCCTGCAAAAAATACACAATATTTCATTTTCACAGTGAATGGACAAAAAAAAAAAGGCTCTGAAAAAAACCTGTGATAACAAGATAACAAGTTAAACTCAAGATAGTTTACAAGGGTTTTGGAAAGATGCAATTCAGAGAGCTTTGCCCTTTGGTTTTGGAAATTCTAGGGGTAAATCTTGCCAACAACACGGAAAATGCAAGACAAGCCTTCCAGCTTAAGGTAAGAGCCTGCTCTGCACAGAAACTCATTGCTTAGATATTTCAGCCAACCTTCTCCAAACTAGATGCTACAGCACCAGAAGTCACCTTACACCAAGGCAGGAGTTAAAGATTAATAATAGTTCTGAGCAAAACATTTTATAACCACTGGAAGGAAGCTTTCCCTAGGGCACAGAGTAATCTTTAAGAGGCACAGGGAAAAGTTTGGGCCAAGATAGTCAAATATGCAGCTTCATAAAATAAGTAAAGCTGATGACTTTGCTGAAAGCCTCTAATGATGCACGTGGCTGTTACTTCTTGCAAAATTTTTGGGACAGAAGGGAAGTTGCAATATGGTAATCACAACTACTTGTAAGCAAGACCAAAAAAAAAAAAAAATTAAGTCCCATGACATATCTTGACTTGAAGACTAACTGGGTTACTTGTGCAAGAAATTTTAGTTTCAGTACCATTACTGATTTTAAGCAAGAGAACTGTGATCACCTAAAATCCTGAACTGCTGTTCCATTCTCTTCCTCAAGAACCCCACATGAAAACTTACATTGTATGGGGTAGAATGGATGGTCTCTGCTTGATCAGTGCTGCATTTCTGCAGCTACTCTAACCTCACTTTTTTCATTACTATCAAAATGACACGCTTTAACTAGATATGCTCAACTACTGCCTTTATCTCAGGCTGAAAACTGCTCACCTCAGATTCCAGCTCAGTGAGGTTTCCCACTATGTCTCTGCAATCAGACACCAAGTCATCAAGATGGTCCTGAAGGCATTCCAGCTCCTACAAAACCAGACAATTTAGTGTGTGATCCAAGAACCCAATTTGAAAATTTGGGCTTGAAATAGTGCAACACACCCAAAATTGCCCTCCACCTTGTAAAGTCTTAATTCTCATTTAATCCCACTCCTCTACTGGCACTCCCAGAACACATACTTAGTAGTTATTGAGAATGCTGGTCTAGGATGTAACTGCTTGTTCTCAAAAGCAGCATGATGTGCTTTCACTTCTGGAATATCACATTTAATTTGCTCTTCACTTCAAAAAGACAATGATGTATGTTCTGTTACATCTGCTGTTCAACCGCTCCTCCCCTACAGCTACGCTAGAGCACAACAATTTAACATGAAAGTATTTGTTGAAATTTTCTTAAGTAGCAGCAGATGTTAGTTCAGTTATGTATAAACACAGGAAGTGCCAAATCAAAATGGGATAAAGTTTATGTGGGAAATGACAAGCTTGTAACAATATTACAAATAAGAGTCAGGGTGGGGTTGCTTCATTAAAAAGTCCTCCTCATTCCCTTACACATTTGAACCTATAGAAGACATGCAGTAGGTGCAAAGCTTCATCTCACCTCTGTCCCTCAGTCCACTGTATATTATGCTTCAAACTAAAAGCATTTTTAATACAGCTAACAGCAAGACGTCCCTTTATCCCCTTTCTTGCCCTTCCCACCCCTTCAGCTTTGCAAATGTGTACAGTGTTACTGTGTACAGTACCTGCCCTGTCTCTGTTTTTTCACTGCACCACTTTCCCAAGTCAATCATGCACTTGTCCTGCAAGGCTGGGTCCAGCTTCACATCCATGGCACGCTGATGGAGGATTCTCTGCACCTCTGCTCTGCACTCTCGTGATAGCTGCAAAGAGAGCAAAGCAGTGAGGTCTCTACATCCCTACAGTGCAAACAAGATGATGTCAGGTAAGGTACCGAGTGAGCACAAATGCCACCAGCAATCCCAGAAAGTACAGAACAAGTCCTGTACTGCTCAGCATGAGCCTGCTAGGGCTCCTGCAAGCGATTCAGGCTCCAGAAGAGTTTGGAGCTCTGTCATTTAGTTTGGATGGAGGCTCCTTTCATTCCACTAAAACAATTTTTGAGGTGAGATGTCAAAGTAGGTCCCTAGATTATCTGCTGCACTGCCCCTTTCATTCAAAGCCTCAGACCGTTCTGGAGAAGAAAGTCAAAACAGCTCATGCCCTCAACACCAAAAAAGAAGCCCAGAAGGAGGCAATATAGTGCAGCTGTAACTTCTTAGCAATCCTCACTGCAGCACCTCATAGCCAGTATTTGCAAGACTGAGGAAAAAACAAATTGTAGAAAATCAAAGAATACTGGTATGGTGCTTGTCAGACCTAAAATGCACTGGTCGAAGCTTAAACCTGTATACATTTAAAAATCCAAACCACTGGAAATTACCTAGCATTCTGTGGACAGCACTAGAGAAAAAGTACAGATCTAACCTTTGATGAGTTTGCTTTCAAATGCTAAATTTCGAAGTGACAGCTGCTCCCTTAGCCTACTTTCCACAAGAAAAATACATTTAAAAGCCTTTTCTCTCTGATAGATTATTTGCAGGGAGGCTATTGATTTCTTTGGTCAGCACTAATATAAAACGGAATTAAAAAGTCTCAACTCAGCAGACTAAGAAGCTGCATCAAAAAAATATTCCTAAAAGAGAGATGTTTTCAATCAATACTTGACCTCTGCCACAAAAGACCTTTTAAATCAAGCTGCAGAAATTAATTTTTAAGTCAGACATTGTGTAGACCCACCAACTCCTAGGGGGTGTGGCTAGGAGCACCAAAAGAAATGGAACCGAGTACTCAGCTGCTTTCAAGGGAGTGTCTTGATAAAGGCACGAGAGGGCAGCAAACTTGAAAAGAGTAGCTCGGAACCAAACAAATGTGACTACGGTGGATCTCCAGACTGCACAGCAGCAAGTCAGATCCATACTGTCTTCGTGAAAGACAGCATAAGCACATTTACCTGTACAGTATGCTTCAAAAAACTAAAAGGATTTTTATATTAATAGGAGGAATTTAATGAATTATAATCTGAAGTTGTACTCAAATCAAAACTTAATCAGTAGACCTTCAAGGTACACATGAGGAGGAGCTGGGCATCCAAAGCAGTGCAAGTACCACCTATGGTAAATTGTTTTAAGCAGCTTTTGCAAGTTCTTGTAGTTTTAGCAGATGTCCAATTTCTAAACAGACGTGCAACCTGTCTATCACAGATTAAAGAGCAGTAAATTGCACACTAGCACTTACCCTCCTTCCTTGCTCCTCTGTGCGGTACGCATGCCTGTACAAGCAGGAGAAAACAGCCCCTGGAGGCATCAGCTCACTAGTCTCATTCCAGCCATGGGTATGGCATAGACGGGAGGCGTCTCCCTGACACTTGCGGTAAAGGACTGTATCCAATCTGCAAACAGAAGAGTTATCATGAGCACTTCATTCAAACCTTTAATGTTTTTCATATTTTGAAATGTTTTGGGGGCAGAAAAATCCACTTCGAAGTTTCATACACCAACACATCATTCAGCAGAAGTGTCTAACCAACGGAACCAAGAGGTCACAAAATGCCTGTCACTCAATTTGGAATCAGTGCCTTAATCTTGCAAAAATACACCAAGATCTTTAATTACAGATTAATTTTTCAGTGCTTCTTGAAGCACCTCCCATTCTCTTTTGCAGCATGCCAGCCTAACGCTGACACATGAGAAATCATCTCCTTGATATCCTAAAGCAGCAGAAAGGCAGGTAATCACTTAAATTTGGCTCAAGAAAATAATTACCTGCTGGAAACATGGCAAGGCAGGAGAACCAGCAATGAAGGAATACAGGAAGAGGAGGAAAGAAGTGAAGTATTCTTGTCTACTTAAGGAGACAGTTATCAAGATGACTAAATAAACGGCCACAAAGCCCTAAACTCTCTGGCCCATGAATCCCCATGTATTTTAAAAGCAGAAGGTTCACTGAGCATTTCAGGTCCTAACTACTGGTAGTGCTGCCCACAGATACAGCTAAGAGTCATATTTTCTTAGCATTTGATTTGAATGCCCCATATAGTAATCAAAGCCCATGACTTCTTGCCTTACTTCCTTGAGGTCACTGAGAACAATTACTCCATTTCTTGCAGTAACCCCAATTTGATGTACTTACTTCCTCACCTCTCAACCTGCTTCAGAAGAAAAGCCAAACACTTATTCTTTCTTTGCTAGCCATATTTATCAAATTTATACTCTCCTCTTAACCCACAGAGACACAGGGGGTCTGTATGTATTTAAAAAAAAGCACTGCCATCTTTGGATGAGAAAGTTGAAAATGCAGTGCTCCAAAGGGAATTATATCTGCTCTACAGGCTGTAACCACACCTAGAGAATTTGAAAAAAAGGCAGAAATGAAAACAGGGAGCCTCTCACACAGTGGCTCTTTGTTATACTTAGCTTGGTTTTCTGAACTCCCATATTGTAGCGCTCAGAGCAGATAAAACTGGCTGCCACCTGCACAGAAAGTGACCTTCAACTTCAGTATGCCCAGAGAGAATTCTTTTAATTACAGATGCACTGAATTTCAGAGCTCAAACTTGACACTTTCTAGGGTTGCATCATTTCTAAGTGAGTACCTGATTTAAGTGGACATCATACTTACTTTGTCTATGCAGCTTTTGCTTCTCTGTTCCAGCCCAACATTAATGCCCTACAGACCTGGCATGCTTAAAAGTCTTCTTCTGAACAAGCATAAGCTATACCATTTTACAAGGAATTGCTAATGCATACAAAACACTAAATAGAAGCATCGAGTGAGGATCACTTTTGTTTTACAGTACTCACTTCCAATCACGAGATATAAAATACTGGAGCTCCAGGAGCCTATGCTCACAGTCCTCTACCATCTTCTCAGTATACAAGTGCTCCATCAGGCAGGACAGAATCCTGAGAACAGGATAAAAAAGTTAGGCAACAGACTTATAATCATGCTTAACTTCCTTCTAACAGTTGGTGTTGCCAAATAAGCCTTTCCAATGAACTACAGATAACAGGTTCAGAGTGAAGATCCTTTCCTTCCTTCAAAAAGACTACATCTAAAACAACTGTATAGCACATTTGTACCCTCTAAAATTCCACTGTTTTAGTTATCTCAGTGTCTGATATATGACAAAATCATAAGGAATATTTCATGTAAAATCTGGCTCAGGAGACAATATATATCAGACCTGAATAAAGGAAACATTTCTCTCTTCAGATTGGGTTTGCTTAACTGGCCTTTCAAAGGCTTGTTATTTTTCTTTGTAATATTGCTAAAGACTTAGGTAGTAAAAGAAATTAGCACATCAAATGTTACAAATTAAATCCAAGTGCCTGAGATAGCCTCGTACTTCACCAGTGCTAAAAGCAGCCCTGGTACAAAAATCCTAGCCTGCTTATACAGTTGGAATGGAAACCAAGCTCAGTTCACACCTCCAAGCCTGTATGAATTACTAGTTTGGAGTCCATTATTTCTGAAGATGTTTTAGTATCTATACTGGTCAGCCACACAATCTTCAGGGATGCCCGAAAGAAACAAAAATCAGTTGTAACCGAGAGCCACCTACATGGGGTCTCCAGAGCGTATGTGCTTGCAGGCAGTCTGTATCACCGACTCACAGGCCTCGTTCAACGCTCGGTCAATGCGATAATCTGCACCGGGGTCAGTTTCTTGAATCAGTGTTTGAAGCTGGAAGAAAGAAGTTGTGGATAGGAAAACAATTTATAATAATAAAATGGCAGCACTTACAACTTGTCAGCGTGGTAATTTATGTCAATAACAACACTATCACATATGACCTTTGCTCTACAGTTGCTTAGTTCAAATGCTTGTGCTGCCAACTCAATTACCAGACATGGGAGCCCAGTGCTGCTGAACCCGAATTATCCTTATTAAGCAGACTGGAACACTGGATGAGACTGGTCACACACTGAAGGTCAAGTGTGTACCTGGACCACTTATATACCAATTTACAAAATAAAACTTGTAAAATTTGAATATTGTATTTTTGATCCACCCTCATCCCTTAAGACTGATGATACCAAACATGTAAATCTCTCACACTTCTATGAAGACTATCTACTGTTCTAAACTGAAACCCAAATCAGTGTTTAAAGACCAGATGCCTGATTACAAACAAAGCTTAAAAGTGTTTTTCAATTGCCTGGAGAGAACACAAAGGTTTTGCTGAAATACAGAATAAAATGTCCTGGGTCTGCTGGTCCATGAAATATCATTTCCTCACGTATGCCTGCTCAAGATTTGAGAAGCCAGGGTAACCACAATTTGGTCTGTATTAAACAATTTTTAATATATAAACCCATAAAACTATATAATTAAATATATAACATTATATGTAATACCATATATATATATACATACATATAACAGAAGTGTTTATCTACCTAAGAGAAGCCATGGTATAAGTGAAAGATGAAAACAAAAACTTTCTAAAGATTTTGAGGTGTGTCAACTTGAAGCTGTGATATCCCTGCACTCCTTTTGTGACTTCTAAATATTTTCAATTGTCATAGAGTATGAACAGTTTCATCAAGTCCTTTCTTCCTGTGAAACAGTTATTCCAATTAAAGCTTCAGAAAAATAACTGTCTCATTAATAGGGAAACAGAGAACATCCACAGCACTGAGATTCAAAATCAGACACAGACAGGTCATCTTCACATAGCTCATGACATCTAAACGTGAATTTGGGAGGCAATGGGTAAATCTCATCATCTCACTTAACCTATTGTTTTGGGGAGAAGGGTAGCTTCCTGGGCCATCAGTCCAAGATCCTCACCTCCCACCTCATTTCCCACCAAGCTGTGAATTCCTAAAGACTGACACAGGGCAAATTGGCATCATCATTCAACAGGCAAGCATTTTTAGCTGACAAATTTGGAGGAAAAGGAGAGCTTACTTAAAAGGCAACTGCACAGCAACATCAAATGGTCTGTGCTGTTAACATCTTGACACTTACTTAATGATTTTTGCTACTGGCCCCCAGCCCAACTAAATCAAAGCACAGTTACAATTTTATCCTCCACCTTTCAAAGTCTGCACCTAAACACCATCCAAGAAAACCTTCAGGCAAACTCCTAACATCACAGAACATGGAGAAGTTTAAAGCACCAGAGAACTGAAGAAAAGACAAGCTGGTGCTATCTATCCAATAGGAAGCTTGTAATCAAGACAGACTGACCACAGACTGCCTGGGAGGAACGCAGGATTTCCTTCAACTTGCTCTTGGCACAAAGAAACTGAAGCTGGGCCTGGTTAACAAGAGACACAAGCAGCTCGAAAGAGCACTGCTTAGCAGGTACAAGCTGTTGATTCAAAAATGTTTGGGATATTTTCACTAAAAAATAATAATAAATAAATATTTTCTAGAACTCTGACAGTGGTCAAACAGAAGTCAATATGGGATCCAGTTCATAACATGGAACGAAACCTTAATCAGCAGGAAAAGTGAGAAGTGATACATCTGTAACAAACTTTGTAAAATCAATGCAAGAAGCAGAAGAATGTGGTAGTTCTGCTGGCATGCACACACACATAGCCTGTGCGGACGGGCAATACTCTGCACTAAAGTGCTGGGATTGCTTCATGTCAAATGTTTACATAGCAAAAGGAATCAAGTACGATTAGTGGGATTACTCCCTCAAGGACAAATGGGTGAATAAAACCTCCAACCTGACACTTTCTTACCCAGTTTAAATAAACTGGCCAGAGCATTATGTAGGCAGGATTCTTCCTCAGGTCTCAGTTTAAGTGGTATTTGTGTTGCTGTCAAGTGGAAGAGGCCAAAGTGAACTGGGTACAACAGCTTGGAAGCACCAGGTCACCTCCCAGTCTCTCTGCCCTGTTTAGCGAACTACTGCAGGATTCCCAGTCCCAGTCCTCAACCACATGCAAGATGCACAGCAGTGAGCCAGCTGCCCTAACTGCAGGGGCAAAGGAATAATTTGGCACCAGTGATAAAAGTGAAGGTTTTATAGGATCTTCCTCCCTCCCATAACAAACCCTTGTAGCTGAAAAGCAGCTGGATAAACTTTAGAACCATCTGAACTTTTATCCTGATGTGGAGCTAAATGAACTATCAATTTATTAGCTGTATTAGAAATTGAAAGTAGAAGTATCTGCCCTTTTAGCAAGGATTATAGTTTTCCATGCTCAAGGGACTGAACAGAAAAAAAGACAGACAAGACCAGAGCAACATAACAGCCACATACTTGAAAAACAGTTTGCCAGCAGCTCCAGTATAAAATACTCCTTTCACTAAGCGACACCATAGGTGCTAGACACTGCCAGTACAGCTGTAGCCTTTTATGGGCTGATGCTCACAATTCAAGGACACTTATATCTGCTGTCTGATGATCTACAGCATCGCAGACCCACTCTCCCTATGTGCAGGATCTTCACCTTTGAAGAAGAATAACATGACACCGACATTTGCAGAAGACCATTTAATGACTGGAATATATCCAAGCTGGATATGCTTCCCCAAAGTAAAGAAGAGCTTGTTTTACTACTTCTGGAGCATGTCTTCCCATGCATCTCCTTCAGATGATAATTTTTTTCTTAATTAAATGCATATTCCCATAGAAGTACATCAGTAGTATAAATAATAGGAGCCTTACCCTTTGCTTCAGAACAGGCAGGGAGCTCTCAGAGGTGGCAAAGTCAAACTCCAAACAGCCCTTAAGAGAGCACATTAGTTGCTGTGGTATGGAGTGTTGCTGGGGTGAGGAAGGTACTTAAGCCTACAGTTAGGCAAGATACAGCTAACCAAACACTCAGGACTTTTTTAGAACTTAAGGCTGAACCAGATAGGTCACACAGAAAGCCACCATTCCTCTACTATTTACAAAATTTGGGCATTTTGGCAAGTTCATTGATCAGAATAGATAAAAAAAACACACAGCTCTTAAGACGTTTGGGTTTAGGCGTGCTTTTTCATATGCAAGATCATTCTGGTTAAGGTGTCACAAGAAATAAAATCCCTCAGATCAAGAGACTGGGGTTTGAGATGGTTTGAGAATGCATTTCACTGACACTTAAGTACAAAGAATCACTCATGTTCCTCGTGCAGGAAAGGGTATGAGCAGATGCTCCTGCAGGAAAATAAAATCATGCAGGTTTTTTGGTTATGTTTTGTTGTTTGGGGATTTGAGTTGTTTTTGGCAGATGGGCAAGCGTCTTCCTTTCATAAGGCACACTGAATCAGAGCAAACCCTGACAGACAGGACAGTAAGTAAAACCAGATCCAAATTAGATGCTTCCCGTTCCAATTTCCTCAAGCAAACAGCAAACTGTCTAGGCAAGCATGGCTGAACAATTTCAGGACTAGTCCTACTGCTTTGAGCCAGCCAAGAAATCAAAGTGCTGTTTTAGCATTATCTACTGATGCTACTTAAAAGCACAGAGACACAAGTCTTTGACTCCACATAGAAGATCTGGAGATGGGCCCAAAGCACTGCAGCCAACTCCGCTGGGACAACCCCAAAGCAACCACGTTGCTTTCCTCTCTTTCTGCAGGTGATAAGGTATAGATGCCACAGACCAGTGGCTCCACCATCAACAGCCACATCAAAGTTCAATCCAAGAGCATCAGCATCATGTTCCTGAAATAACAATCACCCAAGAACATCAGAAAGCAAGGACCGACATCCGTCAGCTTTGAACTAGCTGGACTTGGGCTGAAGCCACGTGGAACAAGCAGTAGCCAGCAAGCAAGCAAGGAGTAGATGGCTGAAGCAGCCATCCTCTGTGCAGAGGAACAGCCACTGGCAGTACAAAGTGATAGGAGCTCTCACCAACATTACACTGTAGAAAACAAACCCCACAGTCCATGCTCTTTGATGCAGTCTACTTACAGTTTTTGGAAACCCTGACACAGGTCAATCTTTCCCCTATGGATAAATTTACCAAAGCATGGATAAATTTATCAAAGCACTTCTGAGACCATCCACATGTCTCAAAAGACTGAACTATACTGACATGCGGCAGCTAAGAAGCTGAGAATAAGCTTCAGAGAAGCATCTGTGGCTCAGCAGAAGCATGTAAAGGTGCTCTCTAGGTATCCAAAAGAAAATCAAGTACTCCAGCTACTATGAAGGGTGGACCTCTAACTTGCCTTCTTCACGGCCTGTCGTATGGATCCAGCTCACAACAGGGACTTTGAGTCTCTCACAAAAGACACACAGTCTATGTAAGCATTTTGGACAATATTATCTTCCTTACAAAGATAATTTACCTACCACAGAAGGTAAAAGCCAGAAACTCATTCTAACACAATGAATCAGAATAAAACCAGTGACAGCTGAGTCAACCATTACCATTCAAATACAAAAATATCAACAATAAGTGTTATTTAGTACCTCAGAAGTTGTAGGCAGCTACATAATAGCATTGTGCCAGTCCTCTGGAACCAGAACACTGGAGAGTTTATCTTATTCTTGCAATCATCTATTTCCCCTTGCCCATAAAAATACAGACAAGCTAAACATATTTTATAAAATCGACACTTAATTTGATCCTGCTGTCTTTTGCACAGAGAACAGAAAACAAGTCATTCAACTTGACAGGGAGTCATGGACAAGCCCTGCTGTTGCATCAACTTACTGTACAAAAATAAAGCAGTAGCTTAAATCTAAGAGAACTGAAAGAAACTCCTATAGATTTCTATAAACATTCTTTTTCTCCAAAAGTCTGAAATTTCCTATCACTTCTGTGGGTCCCCTGCCTTGATTTATGACTTGTTCTGAACATACACTTCATGATCTGGAAGTCATTCCTAAGATGAACTGATCTTTCCCACAAATTGCAAATAATCAAGTTCTGAGGCAGCCAGTTCAATTTAATATTTACACAGAAGCAAGTAGGCAGCTTTTCACACTGATGTTGCAAAGCATAAGTCATGCACTACAGCTCACCGCAGAAATGACTCAAACTGTACAGCTGCTGCACCAATACACCTGGTAGTTATGCAGAAATAAGCTTCATCATAAAAGCATCTTATCCCTTACAAAAATTCAACAGATACTCATTTATCTTTCATAACATAAGCAAACTGGCAACATCTTGGGCTCAGGCTTTAAGCCACACTTACAATGAAAATGGACTACATTGGTTCCGTATATTGCAGGAGGCCAAGAGCATACATCTTCCCAAATTCCTACATCAGCACTAACACTCCCTAGCCATTTCTTGTATTGATGTCACTTTTCCAGGCTCACAGGTCATTAAAAGCAGGTATTAATTACAAAAAAAGTAATAACACATTAAAAAGCACAAATGAGTTTGAACAAATATTAAATAATTGTTTCAATTTAAAAATAATACAAACTGGATGCATCTGAGCCAAAATGGAGTTTAAAAAAGGCAAAAGAATCATCCTGTTTTAAAGAGGTACTTTGGAGAACAACACTTCCTTCAGTGGCTGCAACTAGAGTGTCATGCAGCAGTGTGTCATACCTACCTGGCCCTGAAGTTTCACTTCCATCATTTAAGCCAAATGAAACACCAAAAATAAAACTGAGTGGAAAGGTACTTTGAGAAGATTTAGTACATTTCAAATGACAGGGCACAGGGGGAAAAGGGAAGGAGAGGGAATGTTTCAACACTTTAAAAAGCAAGTTTCCCTACATCTTGCACCCTGGAGAGAATTCCATGACTTGAGAGCTGATGAAAAAGAACTACTGGAGAACAAACAGTCCGAAATGTATTTCTTGAGGAAAAACTCCATTACTCATGCACTGCTAGATACCACGTTACACTTCATACCATGACAATTAAACAACTGCCTCCAGCATTCACTGGTACCTGGCAGAGTCAGACTACCTTAAGAAGAATCTCCATCACAAGGCAAAAAGTCAATGGACAAAATCAGTGTTACTATCAACTGAGCAACCTAGAAGCAAAGCAATATAAAAGCATCTTACTGCCTGCTGACAATTCAGCCCGACGTTTCCCTTTTCGCCCCGTACTACTTTCATCAGGCAATGCAGGGTGCGACCCTTCCGATGCAGGCCTGAGCAGTGGTGCTCGATCTCCCCTCGGCAGCTCAGGATGATTTCTGGGCTCAGCGAGAAGTCTTCCATCAGCATGCGCCGGTAATCCAACATTTCACCCTGGCACTCGCTGCTCACTTGTCGACCTGAGCCAAGAGAAGACATCCGAATCTAGCATTAAAGCTTCTTGACCTATGCTGCCATCACGTTGGAAGAATAGGGATGATGTCCACACTCTGGACAACACCAGATTGCAAGGAATGTGCCAGAATAGACACGCTAGGGATTAAAACAGTTATGATAGCTCCCATCATTGAACTGAACCTGTAAAATACAGCCAGTCTATGGATTCAATACATGTTCTTTAAAAAGGGATTCCTGAAAGATTAGGAGAATCTTATTTTGGATTTCACATTACAGGAGTTGCTTTTGAAGAACAGTTGAAAATACTCAGTGGATCTGCAGTTCTGTAGCCCAGATCAGCTTTTCCCCATATGTTCAAGAGCTTTGCTTTCCCACTGTAGAAATGGAAGGCACCTCTGGTAATTTACCAGCTCGATATGTACCTGGGGGAGGAATTTGCCTGGACAGCAGGTTAAACATTTTCTGAGGAAAAGGTTTTCTAGAGCAACAATGCATACTTGCCTAGGAAGCCAAAAACCAGAATAGAACACATTACCAAGAGCATATACAGAGTGTCTACCAAACCACTGTAGCTGCACAGAAATCTAGCTTTAATAAATGCTCAGATCTGCTATAAGCTTTCCTTCAGTCCCCATGTAAACAGTTGGGGGGGGGCGGGCAGTTTAATCAAAAGGCTTTTTTGCTATGTCCTCCCCCTAGTCCCCATCACGACCTGTATGTACAAGGCTCCATGCAATGGAGGTCCTAGACCCCAGCAGGGGCTCCCAGGCGTTGCAATACAGACCTGTGGAAGTGTGTGGAATAATTAATGTTCCTCCTGGGCTATGCTTCCTGGATGAGCCACATGCTGCAGAACCTGTTCCACCATGAAAGTGGAAGTTAACAACTGAACAGCAGTTTTTTGCATGTAACTCAGGAAAGCACCTGCCCTACTGCAGAGAAAAGGAAAAATAAAACCCCACAACTTTTCTACAAACAGCACACATCATTTCCACATCAATCAGAAGGAATGAGTTATTCAAACTCATAAATGCACAGATTGCTTACGGTGTTACGGCAGCCTTTCCCTCCTGTGCCAGAGGCATTGCAGCATACAGCCCTGCTGCTGAATCACAAACCATCCAGCTGCATGCCAAGGGGAAAACCAAGCAATTCTCCAGTGCAGATATAGAGGATATAATGTGTTGTTTTACATGCTATGGCAATTTCACGGAGAACCTTTAGCATGGTATAGGGCCCTCTAATGCCTTTAGAAGAGCCACTGGTGTTAAAGACATTCCCAGCTTAAGCTAACTTAAATGTACAAAAAGAATATTCTCACACCTTCCTTCTATATATCAAAAACTAGGTATGAGTTAAAAAATTAAGGCCTCTACCTAAGCTGCTGAATTGCAAGGAAAGAATATCACTTACAAGAGGCAGAGGGCTGAGTAACCCTGGCTTTGCCTGAGTGACGATAAACAGGTTCTCTATTCTGTGCTTTAACCTAGTAGCATATTTAATGCTTACTACATAAAGGAGGAAAAGAGCTGCTTGAATTCACAGTGAATAGAAAGATTTGCAATTACTCATCATCCGTCCAAGTGGGATTTGCTATTCTGCATTTTAAACTTTTTGTCTACACAATAGCAGTCAGTGTCAGAGGTTTACTCAGCTATTCTGATCTTCAAAACAACAGTGAGGAAAGCCTTATGATGAGGAAACTTGCCTCTGAATCAACGTTTGGAAAAGGTTATTGGAGAAGAGGACAGTAAATACATGTTGAAGCTGAAGGTCCAGGAGAAACGTTTAAAACCAAGGTCCCTGCAAGTCACACACCCTTTGATTCAACTCCACGTACCTCTGTGCACAGCAGACTCTAAGCACATCAACAGATAGGAAAGCCTGGCTTCCCGAGACCGGGGAAGGTTCTCCACATTACAGCGGTATTTCTTCAGATCACTTTTACAGGACTTGGCCAGCGAGTAACTGACTTTGTAGTCTTGGGCGATCAGCTTCTGGCGGGTTGTCAGCGCATCACGACACTGCAGGAGACACATTGGGATGGCTGAATGAGCTTCCGCACACTGGTGACAGGGAGCTAAACCTGCTGCTGCTAAGTTTTCAAGCTGTATTTAAAAGGCAACCAATGCTTTAAAATTCATGTGTTTAAGCTGGACTGCAGTTAAATTTCATTTGTCTCGTAGAAACCACACAGTTAACAATGCACACCAAGAGCAACAGATCAAGGGTTTTAAAGGCAGCAGCTCTCTGCAGTGCACTACTTAAAACTGCACATTCATCCAGCTTTTTGTGAAGAGCTATGGCTGAGAGCGTGACTCATTCTCGGTAACTAGGATCAGTTGCTGACATTTATCCCAGCTGTGGTACATGCACACCGCATGCCCTCAAGAAACAACTTTTTCCAGTCGCATTTACAAAATAGTGTGTTCTTTGTATTTGCTCTGAAACATGCTGAACAGATGACAGCAGATAAAGCAGTCTAACCATGGGAATTTCTAGCCATTTCCCACAACCGGTGAGGCTCACAAGGATGCACTGTGGCCAAAGCCAAACCCAGCAGCTGCAAGAACAACCCTCTAAATTGCATCCAAAAAAGGGCCTGTAAAGAGACTGCTACACTTCATAGCTTTTGGTTTAAATTATATGAAAATTAAATCCGAGGGTGGCAGATAATTCAGAACAGCTCAGGCAAATTTGTCCATTCTTGGACTACTTGAAAGGAAGAAAAACTGTGTATGTGTAGGGTGGGGAGAACAATCTTGGCACAAGGAACAGAGAAGCCCTACACCTATAGGAGCTTCCTATACCTTCCCATATCTACACCAGGACCTGGAAAGCCCTACTCCAAGATATTCCCATCCCCTCCTTCATGGTCCTGTCTCTGTGCCATGACTGGGACCTTGGGACTGGACAGACTTCAAGCTCCAGCCAAAGGAACATAAAGGCTTGCTTTGATGACACCTCATCCCCCAAAGCAGGGGAAGGTTGGATACAGTCAGGGAGCCCAGCTTGGCGAGCAGTTTTGGATTACCCAAAGCAAGCCACCCACTAGGCAGCTATTGTTGGCTACATGTGTACGCAGCAGTCGATGTCATCAGCAAGGAGGGACTTTTTATTGGGTAACAGCTTCTACAAAACTAGTAACTTTGCAGATGGTCCAACCTTGGCAGCTACAAGAGTGAGAACTAGATTTTGTGTTCCTCCTGCTCTGCAAACTGCGCTGTCAGAGCACCCACCCCTCTATCCCTACCAAGTCATCTGCTACAGCTCTGTCTAACCTCTCAGTATCATATTCATATCTTAGACAGCCAACCGTGGAAAAGACCCCTCAAAAAACACCCCACTGTCCCCACACAACCAAAAACAGGGTAAGCAAAAAGAGAAATCCATTTCAGTAACGTGTTCGTAAAAACTGAAGCTTTATTTCAAGCCTTCAGGGATCACACTCTCAGTTTTTGTCAATTGGAACTAAGCTTTCAGATAGCTAATACATTTAAAGAAAAGGAAATAAGTCTGATCCCACCAGGCCTCTGAACTGGGCTCCTTCAGTGGAGCTTCTCTGAGAAGGGCTTTATAGATATCCATCTTTGTATCCTTTCAGACAGATGATATAATTCCATATAGTCCCAAACACTGTGATGCTGCTTCCTGAAGGCATTTTTGCCTTCTCAAAACATCTACACCAATACATTATATTTTCAGGATTGGCTTTCCAGAACAACTTTGTTGTTGTTGTTGTTGAAATCCACATCTTCATAAAAAACATAAGGCAAATGTCAGGAACTGAACTGTGTATCTTTCCCACAAAATGTCTGCTTCATATTCAGACACTCATAGCCTTGAAAACAAAAAAGTAAAACACACACAGCTTCCTGTACTAAGGCATTTTGTTTCTAATCTGTATGTTATGACCGCATTTATCCAAGGCTTACCCCAGCACAGTTTGACTTCTACTTTAAACACTCAATCACAATGCTACCACTTGAGCTCCAAGTCTACCTTCCCAAATTACCCACCTAAAAGCTTTGATTTATTTAAATTCTTAACTTTAAAGGCTGTAACTTGAGCACAATTAATTCAAGCCATCAGCACGTAGCTGGAAACACAAATATATCAAAGTATTTAAAGCATCTGTTAAAGCAGTCAGTTATCCTACGACACAGATGATGGATTTTCCTCAACACTGGAAAAGAATAACATACCCTGAACTGATGAATGATCTGATGATTTCTGCATTAAGGATTTGTCTCACTAAGACAGATACCTACCTTTTCACTCATTGATTCTTCAAACTTGTGATTAAAGAGGCACTTGTAGACTCGGCCTTCCCCAGCCTGCGTCTGTGAAAAAGAACAGTAACATTTACCAACAAAGATAAGACTTGTAATGCTTAACAAAGAGGCTAAACTACACCTAAAGAGATTTATTTTTTAAACTAGAAATATATTAAAGTTAATATTTCAAATGACAGTGATAGTTTCTCTACTATAAAAATCTTAAAGGTTTTATTGCATTTTTTAAAAATCTGGTTGTGTTCATCACCCTTTTAGTAAGAAGACACTCAGCCAACACAAGCTAATTCAGACTGAACAATGCAGCTCTCCAGTTCATTGGTCTGGCGATAAGGAGTGCTGTGAGTCGAGTCAGACTCAGACCAGGCTTACTACTGCAGATGGGAGCAGTCACTTACCTTTGCTGCCTCCTCCACATTCGAGTTGTTCCATGCCCTGTCACACCGGCTCTGGTGCCCATTAAACCATTTATGCCAATTCAGTTCCTTAACATGCTGGAAGTAATGCTTGTTGGGTGAGTGAATTTAATACCAGATATATAGCAAAATGACAGCTACAAGGTGCCTGTTTCCAGTATTACACTAATTTGCCCAGACTCCATTTTACTGTTCCATTCCTTCTTCCACTGTGGTTATGTGTTTTTTGAATGAAAGAATGTAGAAGGCAAGGGGAAATACTCACATTTTCACAAAACCTTTCTCTATCATCTCGACATGCAAAGTAGAGATGCCGGTCCAAGTGGAAGTCATCCGAAGAGAGTTCAGCTACACGAAGAATTGCTTTCTTACACTGATCAGAAACCTGAATTCGAGGATCAGTCTCCTCTGCCTCTTTTACCAGGCCTTTTTCCAGACATGCCACCACCTCTCCTTGTGAGTGGGCATCCTACATGAAGAAGAGCAAGACAACATCTGTAATCAACCACTTACATAAACTATCTGTGACTCTGGATAAGCATCACCTAAATTAACCAACAAATAGTCTACATATAGCTTTCCAAAAGTTCAGCCTAAACCGAATTTACATTCTTAGTAGGCAACAGTTAGTATCTGTGCTATCCACACGCTTTATACATCACCATCCTGCTGATGGCCACTGTGAAATCCCCCTCCAATGCCCTGGGTTTGTTTTAATGTGATTTAATGAGATTATCACTACTTAGTCACACTGCTCAGAGCAGTTTACCAAAACAGCCAAATTATCTTTAATCTGACATAGCTCTCCCCGCACCATGGCAACTGCAAGCAATGCCATCACATTAAGAACATACTTGGGGGAGAGAAAAATCATAGTTCCTCTGTGCTGAGACAAGCCTTCGGTTTTGGTGGTGATAATTAGTGATGCTAAAAAGGCCACAAAGCAGCTTTGTCCAATGTAGACTTCTTAATGCTAATTCCTCCATTAAGGGACTAAAAAAAGCAAAGCTTCCAAGAGTAGACAGTCTCAGACAAAGCCTTTCTGGCCCAATACCGTAGGCCATGTCCACCGTCCTGAAGCCTGAAGATGAATTTGGACTATGAGCAGCAACTGCCAATAAACAATCTCCTCAGCTTTGTAAGAAAGCCCGGAAGAAGCAGGGCAACACTCCATTTAGTTTTCTACATCATTTTATGTGTTTAGAAAGGGAACTATAACCCCTCTCTACCTCTGATTCCTCTTATAAACAAGAAGTCTTCTGGAACAGATCTCTCAAGGCTCCTGCAAGTTTTTTTTGTGAAGACCACCTCAATTTACGCTGCTCTGCTGTGAGAGGATATTGCTACTAAACTTCTATCAGACTACCTGAAGCATACATCAACCTGGTATTTGTAGTAACCATTTAGGAGCTATCCCTTCAGCTCGCTCCGTCAAGTAGGCTCATCCACTGCTGTTGCAGCAACATGAATAAGAGAGCAGTCTCCGTAAAACATGACCATGACTATTCAATCCCATGCAACTATTCCAAATCTTTTTGTTCTGACATGTCTCCTCGGGCAGGCAGCCTTTCACTCCTGTTTAACTCTGCTGCACTTGGAGCACAAGCAAAATTGGCCAATTAAAGTCACAACCCAGAAATAACATCAGTTTTAAAGGGCTAAAAGTAGTTTTCCCCTTAAATAAAAAAAAAAAAGCAAAACCGACCTCAAACCACACACAACCCAAACTCTGTATTTTGGTTTGCTCTTTTCCTTGAGCAGAAACCAGCCAACTTCGTATGTTGGCCAGATATCAGCATCTTTGAATAAATATGATTATACATCAACAGTCCCTTTAGGACTGAACCCAAAAGGGATCCAAGGAATACTAGTTAGCAGTACTTTCACCACGTTACTTAGAATTGTCATTTATCTATAACCACACCAAACACAAACCCTGTTCTGCAAATCCTTGTGGTCAGTCACAGACAGCAGTTACAACTGAGGAGCCAGCAAGCCTAAATGATTGAAAACAAAAGTTTTAAGCTCCTTTGGCAGTTTTTTGCTCCAGCCTAGGTGAGGTTGCAGCTGGGAGGCAAGGCAGGCCAAGACTACTCTCACTCACTTGCAAGCCAGCAATGAAGGCACAAGGCAAGATTTTTCCACATAAGTTTCCTGATTTCTTGCAGCATGGATCTAGATTCCTGGTCAGAGTCATACTATATATGAAAGTAAACCTATTTTTATTAGTCTAGTGAAAGCCGATTTCCATATGCTGGATGCTGAATGTTTACTGTTGCATATCAGCGACACAACACAAAATGACTAATTTATTGCATTGCTTTGCAAATACAATTTTTACATTTGGGTAGATAATCTTGCAGTGCTGTCTGCTCTGCTGCCCTGTATTAAAGCAATTTAAAAACATGTCAGATTTAACAGAAATAAACACAAGTCAACACAGCTAGCTCCTGGAAGATGCAGTCCTGCTCTTTTCTCCTGCCTCCAAGGATTCACATGCCTTCTTGTGGTGCCATTAGTGTTCCTTGCCCACCTGACACTGTTTGGGATATTTACTGACCTAACCTGGGGTTTGTTTTCAGGCAGATATCAGGTCCCTGAGTGCTAGTGCTGACTAGTTAAAGTCAGCTTAAGGAGGTCCTAACTCTTCATTTCTTCAAAAGGGCATGAAGGCAGCCATGCTACTAGTCAAAGAGAATATAGATGGGACTTTACAAATCTGGTTTAGAGAAATATCACTTCAAGTTTTAATTACAGGCTAACACCTACTGTATTTAAGATTGTGCAATCTCTTTCTGGAGACTGGAGGGGGAAAACAAACATGTGTGCAGATGCACTCAATTGTCTTTTTCTGAGTCAGCTGACAATCAAAAGTTTGACAGGCTCATCCTAAGGATGGCGGGACAGCTTTGACACACATTTGCAGTACATGCATCACTTGGCAGCTCTACACCACACTGAGCTGCCTGTTCCCACCAGCACTCCACGTGCCACCAGTCCTGGGGGGCCAGCTCAGCACCAAAGCCAAGGGTCGGCATCCCACGGCGTGAGCTCTCTCAGTCCTGCTGCAGCACCAGCTGTCTGGTGTGTACAGGGTTATAAATGCCTGCTGCAGCTCTGCTGTGGAATGAATTCCAAAGCTTTTCCTCTATCCAGTACCCTGTTGTCAGAAAGCCTCTACCTTAGAGTTGAAGACCTTTAAGTTCATTCCACAAGTCAGGACTTCCCAAAATTGCTGCAGGGGCTGACAGTCTAGGCCTCATTTCTCCAGAGCAACACACAAATACAAGAGATTAAATCTAAAAACCACACGTGTTTCTCGGAACTGTTGTCTCACCATCATTACCAATCTCAAATGGAGAATTTTAACTGAAAGTTGCAAAGATCTGTTAAATATACCAGACAGTTATCTAGTCTAGAGTGTCTTGAAACTCTGCCTAGTTTTATGAACTGATACAGTGCTGTCCGATGGCACTTCAACAGAAAAGTGGAACTAAGTTCTAAATGTGCCCAAGCAAGCCCCCTTCAGCACAATGCTTTAGGAGATTTTAATTCCTATGATCAAAATTCAAACTCCATGCACATCGCCAACAGAGAATTTTAGAAACCTTGTTCTTACTATTCGTTTTCCAGCAGACATTCCCCCCACCTCCCATATGTTTTTAGGCTTTGCAATTCTCATTTATTTTTTTGCCATTTTCAGAAGTTCCCCCAGAAAAGACTATTTAGTCTGAACCTGGACATGCCTTAAGTTCATGACTATTCTAGCAGCAGACTTGCAGAGAGAAGCTAGAAAAGTGACCAGAAAAAGAGCGAGGAGTAGAAACGAGCAGCAGACAGGAGGGTGAAACACAATCTGTCTCCCCAGCAGCACAGCACCTTGCACTGAATGGCCGTACTGACTTGCTGAAGCCAGAGCAGTCAGGCTACGGAAAACAACCCAGCAGATCTACCCCAACTTCCAGTTCAGCACTCCGCCTGGCTAACCCGGACACCAGGGTTATGAGAACGGCTCCTAGATTAACTAGTTCGCAGTACTTCACCTGATAGCACACTGCTACAATACTACACTGTGTAAACAAAGACTGAGCTGAGCGTTATCATTTCTTTCCACTTGACTCATTTCTCCTCTGTGTCCAGTATTTCTATGAAACTAGGGAAGAAGTAAGAGCAACTGTACTCAAAAGCACTTAGGGTTGAAAAAAAAAAAAGGCAAGAAAACAATGATCTCCTAATGTGTAAGGAACCTGAAAAATACAATTATCTGGTAGTTCTACAACAGATGTGCAACTGACACTTACATAGCCTTCATTAAGGCAAATAACCAACATCAGTTCAGACATCATGCCTAAATCCAGAATCCAGGAAACTATACACTACCCACTAGCTTGATACAATCCTGGACATTACCGGGCTTGGGAAAGCAGCTCGTTCTGATAGGCAGCCCAAAAAGAAAAAGCTCTGTTGCAATTACGTATTTCAATTTCAAATTAGATCCCTATTGCATGAAGGCAAAGCAAGCTTTACATACCAGGAGATCAAATTTGCTATGAAGTGCAACAGCCAACTGGAAAGGTGACTGAAACTACTATTAATTATTTCTCCATTAACTGGAAGAAAAAAAACAACTTACAAGACTTAGGCTGCAGGTGTGACATTTGAAAGCTTTTTCTACTATATACAGCAAAATTAAGTCTACAGTCAGATGGAGACTTCTAAATTGTACTTTATTGCTCTTACAAAGTAGAAAGCCAACAAGAAACGTGGAAAAGAAAGTACAGAAACTACTACATCAGAAGCAACAAACCCAGCAGGAACAGAATTCAATTAGGAAGTCGAAAGCAAGCCAAAACTAAAAGGAAGTATAGAAAAGGAGAACAGTTAGCTAGCATAGGGGCTTCAAAAGGCAGTCTCATTTTGGAATACCTACTAAAGTGCCTTTTTCACTTTAAAATGCCGGTTTATCCTAGTTACTATGATGAAGCTATCATACTGTCATTTAGAAGCTGCCTGATGTGGATGGAGTTAGCAGTCTAGTAGTGCTTATTTCCATAAAAAGAAGAGAAATGAACCTCTTTCCCCATCTTCTTCCTCAGGTGCCCAGGTCCTATTTATTAAATTCACAGTTACATTCAGTCACACAAAAGGGTAATGACTGTTTCTCTACAGGTAACTCTCAGAAGATACTGCATGGAAATAATACCTGAACCAGCATCTGATGGGAATAAATTAGATGAGATTTCTCCAAAGCAGAGAAGGGATAAACAGAAGACCAACAAAAGAAATGCTTGCATAGCCATTTATAGCTGTTTCCATAGCAGTATAAAATACTTCAATTGCTCTAAGTGCCAAGGATGACAGCACAACAAAAGACATCACATGACAGGCTGCAATGCTTTCACAAACCAAGGCAAAATATTCTGGGTTGGGTACTAAGAAAGTTGGGAATATGCATAAACCACACTAACCCCCATAAAAGTCTGGCTAGTGACTTGCTGCGCTATCCCACAGAAACACAGTGACCCAACACTTGCATTCGTTTCCCTCTCCTATATGATTTGTGACCTTCACCTCCCCGGCCATCCTCACCCTTCACCCACCTCAACTTTTGTGACCAACACGGTAGGTTATGCAGCTACACACACAATCCTGTCAGCACTGGTTTCACTCCTGCTACATGTGATTTGACTTACTCATTAAATCCTTCTGTAGCCTACTGTACCTTTCAGTGCTACCATAAGTATTTCAATTTTAATTTGTTTTAATATGGTCAGGCCACAGGTAGTATGTAGACCTGACACCCAGGACTCCCATATTACACTTCTGATTCTACACTGATTGTTAAAAGCAATTTCTTATTTCATGAGGACCTTCAGGCGATGATCAGAAGAGAGTCTTTACTTTATGGAGAAAACAAGCTACTCAGCTGTTACTAGCCTGAACCTGCAGTGCATACAAGTTCCTCCCACTTCCATAGCTGCTTCTGTTCTTGAAAGCAAGTACTTATTTTTGTACTTTTTGTTGTTCAGCTAAGTATTCTCAAATACACTAGCACTTTAACACACTATGGATGTAAAGCTGCTTACAGCAGCTAATCTCTCAAACAACTAGGGAAACTTTTAAACAAAAAAAAAGTATGTATTTTTGGCTAAATCTTTTCACCCCCTCATTAATAGCTGATATAGGAGACTAATTCTTAAAAGCATAAGAGCTATAATTTAAAAAGCACTGTAAAAAAGTTGATAAGCTAATTTTAACTTTATCCCTAAACTTAAAAACTTACCATAAAAGAAGCCACTCATTTCTGCAGTAATTGCTGCCGGCATTAGCTATGCTGGAGTAAACAGGGAAAGACTGTACCTTGAAAATAACCCTGCATCTAGTCACTACAAACTTTTCATCAACCTCCACTTAAGTTTCATATGACAAAAAACACTGTTTTAGTAAAACCAGTACAGTATTAGTAAGTTTGTACTACTAAAATACAACACTAGGTAATATGTGCCCTTCAGCCATTTTCAGGTGAGCAGAGGAATGGGGAAGCCAAGAGATAAAAACTCTTGATTCATTCTATCAACTACAGCCTGAAAAAGCACAGGCCACGCCACCTTGATAACCTTCCTGCGTCAGACCCAACTAGACTGTGAAATAAGCCTAGCAACAGGTCTGCTTAAATCTATTGTTGGAAATTCATCACATGAGTCAAGCCTGCCAGAGCGTGATCAAAAAGACAACTACCTACCAGATCACCTGTAGTGCAGCAAGGAAAGACAAATGAAAGTCATCTCTGAATAGTAGTCCCCCCCAGAGGAACAAATACATATTTATTGAAAAGGTACTGTACAGAATCAGGACATCACCCTTTCCAGACAGATGAGATATGCCATGTATTTTCTCAGTTGCAAGTAAGACAATAATACTATTGAAGAGTCTCCACATAAGTTTCCTTAGTGAATGACTTTTACAAGCGGACTGACAATCTACATGTTCTCTGGATACCTTTTCTCCAGGTCGAATGCTGCCACATTTCAGGAGATTGATGTCAGCCTTGCAGTCATCCATGAAGCCACAGATCAACCGATAATCGCTGAAGATAATGGCTGTCATTTTAGTGATGTACTGATGGCACTGGTATTCAGTGATGTTGCCTCTGTGATCCACCAAACATGACACCAAGAAGCCTTTACCAACTGGTTCATCCGCACACTCCTTGATCTGTTTAAAAAAATAATAAAAATACAGTGGCTGCACTTACTGAAGTTAACCTTTTTAAAAAAAATAATCCTCAAAGAAACTTGCATCTGAAGCTTCAAAATCTGCTGGCAAAGAAACCCTCTAGGCTTCAGTTTGATTTTCAGTAAGTCAGAATACTTGAAAACATTTCAGAAATGAGAAATACCTCAGTGTGCCAGTATCTGAAGAAAGCAAATGCAGTGACCTTGAGAATTATAAAACCTCTTGCTCAATAATAATCTTTCATAATAATCACATTGAACCCCTGCAATCAAGTGGATTTGTAGGAAAAATGCTAGTTTGACAAACCTTTATTTAGAAAGCCAAGCATATTACAACATCACTAAATCATACTTGGACCCCCATTAGCCACCTGACCTCATACAACACAACACATACAACACATTCTGGCTACAAGTGAGAGTGATTCAAAAGTCAGTACAGTATTTATTGAACTGTTTATAACTTGGTGGAAGCTGAAAACTACTATAAAAGAAAATCATAATCAAATTCATTTTTATCAGGCTCTTAGAGGAACTGATAGTTGATACTAAACCATTTTACTCAGTGGTGTAAAAATAATAAAATCGTGGCTAACAAAAGCTGAAAGCTGTGCAGGGATTGGAAAAGCAGTATACACGGACAGGTCCCTAATATAAAGCAGAGCCTGCACTGTTCGGGGAAGCAGACAGTAAGGCCAAAAAGGTCACCTTTGGAAGTAAAAGATGCAGGCAGTTTTGACAATGTCTTTCCAAGGGAAGTGAAAAACATGGTTCCTTATCAGGAACCATCATTCTTCCTTATCCCTGAGGAATCTTGAGATAGGAGCAGTGCAGTGCCTTGCTCCAAAGAGTACCAAGATTACACAGACTCTTTTTAACCCTGGGAAGCCCATGTTGAAATACTTGTCCAGTTCTGGTGTTCCCTGTTCAGGATCATGCTGAAAACTGCAACCATGATGATGCAGGAAGCATGCCTGACAGCCAGACACTGAAGTACAGCAGTGACAGTTTTTCAAGCAATAGATACATGGATTGACTTCATTACATCAAAGATTTGTCCCTGTACAAATACTGAAGGGCTCATCAGTCTAAAAGGAGATCCATGACAATCAATAATCGAGGAAGGTTTTAGACACCAAGCAAGGGCGATGTTAAGGGAACTATTTTATCTCAAGGGAATCATTATTCTCAAATATCAAGTTGGAACCTTTATACTGGAAATTTTTAAAAATGGACCATCATCTCTAGAAAGATGTATTTAATTCAAAGGAAAACTAACTCAGGGAATACTGTGACAGACTCATACAGGTCAGACTAGATGAATAAAACCGATCTCTTGCTGCCACAGCTTACAAGGCCATTGCTTTCTATGTAACAAATAAAACATGCAGCATTTTAAACACCATTATTTGAAGGCAGATGTAGGCTGGTAGAACATTTTGTAATTAATCTATATAGCTATTAGAAAAACATAGCTACTAAGGTCAACATAATTGTTATAGAAAATGCTTAAAATACATTTTGAAGTGAAAACATGTATGAGTCATTGCAGGGTGAAAGGGAGAGAGTTGCGCAAGCTTTCTCCAGGAAAGCTGCATCTTCGGTTTGGCCCTTCTTCAGCTTAAGTACCGCAAGCCAAACCAGCACACAACAGCAACATGCTGTTTTTGGAGGAGCTTGGCTTTGGAAACAGCCCCAGAGCTCCACGGCCTGAGCCAGTGAATTGCATAAAAGACCAAGCAATCATGTTATTGCCTGGCCACTTCTGAAACAACCACCATTATCTGGTAGCCAACTATAATTCTAGATTAAAATTATTGCCAGAACTTATAAAATCGCAACAGTTGAGAAAAAAGTTGGTATTTAAATCTATATTTAGCTGATAAAATTAAAGGTGGACTTTTCAGAATGAACCTGGTTGGGACAGTCACCTATTTCCAAATGACTTTTACTGGAAATTAATTTTCTAGTTGTATTTTGTTCTTAATGCAAAACAGTTCTTAAAATCAGCACTCGGATATCAGCAAGAAAACAGCTACCTGTTAATGTGAATTAAAGAAAAATATTCATAGGCTAATACTGTATGTTAGCAGTATTTTCCCAATACATATGTTAGTTTTTAAAAACTGTGTTTTAGAAATACTTTTAAAAATTAGTGGAATAGTTTATGCACCTGTCTTAGTATTAAGTATCAGAAGATCAAACAAGATTATTGTGACTTATGCAACTTTTCTTTCTTGAAATAAAAAGCATTCACCAAACAGCAAAATACCAGCAGTCCATGTTATCATTCACCACAATTATAAGATGAACTCTAGTGGCTGATGTACAGCTAAAATGCTGTGCTCTTCCCACAACACATCCCAGATTTAGAGGGTACCATTTACAACAATGTCAGACTGTCACTGTACAGAAGTCATAAACAGACTGTTGAAAAAGCATTTTCAAGAATGCCTTGACTGTAAAAATTCTGCAGCAGCTATATGACTTAAAACAGAAAAATATAATCTTCCCTATGATTGCAAAAAATGAGATTTGACAGGTTTTGTAGTGTTTGCTTTGGGGAGTTACTAAACTCAAAACACAATGTAACCCTTTTATGCAAGCTGTTTTCCTTCCACTGTTTAATATTCTAGCTTTCTTGTATTAACTGTTTTCTTGGTCTCTCCTTATACTAAATAATGGTTTCCCACTAATGCTATTCTTACGCAACTCAGCTGGTACTGAGAAGGGGAAGCAGAACCCTAGCAGGCCATGAAGAAAAATCAATCGAATACCACTCAACTACACTACTAATTCCCAAACATTTGGAGCCAGGCTGCTGTTGACATCCTCAATTTCTCAGATCTCTGTGTGTTCATCTCAAATGAAAACTTTGTAAATAATGGGGAACCCAAAACATGAGGACTTGAGGAACCACTCATCTTAAACTTGCTCTGGGCACTGACATATTCCCCTTGTCTATTAAGCAAGTCTGCACCACTGAAAGCTAGACCCATGGCAAATAAACTGCCAACACAAACCAAGGTTGGAGAGACAATCTGGTATACATGCAACTGACTGTCTTTCAAGAAAAGCTACTTTAAAACCCACAAAGGGGCCATCATCTAGAGCAAAGAGGTTTTTTAAAAAGCAAGTTTATGGGTAGGTGAAGATATTCTGGTGGATATACAAACTATGTTTTTCAGAGCACGGTTTAATGACTGAATTAAGTCAGCTGAAGCCTGTACTGCTGTAAAGAGCCTTGGTGCCACTGCTTCCCCTTAAGTCTAGCTGAAAACTATCTCAAGCAAAGGGAAAAAACCTCAGGCTCAGTCAGCTCCTGTGTGGTTGAATGTACAGCCTCCAGAGCTCCAGCATGAGCACAAGGAAATAAATGATTTATCAAGTAATCTTTGAAGCTGGACTGAGGTGTGTTGATGTTTGAGGTAGAGAACTCCTAGTGCAACCTATAAATGGGAAATTCCTAACAGTCTCCTTAGAGTAATTAAACTTTGAGCCTTGAAGAAAAAAAAAAGTTGATTCATCATTTGATGCCTACGTGCTTATTCTTTCTGCTAGCAAGACATAATCCAAAATCAGCTTTATGCTAAGTTCAGTTGAACCCCTCCTACACTAACACTTGTTAAAATTGTCAAACACTTGATGAAAAGGGGACAAATCCAACCCACAACAGATTTCTGACAAAAAGTCAGGTGAGAGCTGATGGGTTTAGTTTATCATTTCTTTCTCCTGCCCCTTTGTCTGGCACCACTAAGGTAAGTGGCTTTTTCTGCAAGGAAATCAAATTAATTACACCTAGTAATTTGGCATCTAAGACTAGAGCTTTCCCAAACCTTATTTACACACTAATTCACTATCACAAAGAAATGAAAAAAAACACGTTAGTGCCACAACAGCAGCCATGCCTTTCTTCTGGCTTACCTCTGCAATAGTGGACTTGCAGACTTCTCTGGCCACGGATTCAAACTTTGGATCTGTAGTCAGATTCAGCTTGTAGTTCCACAAGAGCTATAGAGAGAGCATTTGTAGAAAGAGAGTTTAAGAGTTTCCTACAGAGAATGACAAATATTTTTCTTCAGAAAATAATGAAACATCATTTATTCCCAGTCTGTATCATCATCCTTCTACAGTGCAACAATCTATGTAATGTCTCCTTGCCAAAAACTTTGTCCATTTCTGCAGTAATTTTCTCATATTTAACAAATTCATGCTGTTAGAAATCTCTCCATAAGGTCATGAGCTGACTCATTACAAGGAAATATATCTAATGAAGACAATTTCATAACTGAAAGGATGAAACAATGAAAGCTGTAACTTGCTACCAGCTACATATTTATCAAAGTCTTTAGCTCACCATACCTTTCTGCACCATGGCTTGTCTGCCTGATGCAAACGATCTAACAAAAATGAAGTCCTCAACACAAGCAGATTTCATACTGAAAACCTAATAAAAACCTAGCAGAAGAGGAAGGAGACAATGCAGCTGGTTCCTTCTGTGAGGGGCTGTGACCAGACAACTTTTTGGACACAAATACATTTCAGACCTATAGGAGGTTCTCCCTCTTGCTAAGCACAATGATACATTAGGCACTAGACTGCAAAACGTCTCGGCAAGGACTGTTCTTCTAGGAGCCAGAGATTAGCTCACATAGGAGCCTTGATACATTGGGTCATTGTGCAAGAATCAATCTTGGGCAAGTCACACTCTGCAGATATATACACATCCCAGATGTCCTCCTGAGGCACCATAAAGTAAAAATACAGGGTAAGATAATAAAGCCTCAGCAAATTAATAGCTGAGATGTTGCCTAAGAGAAGCTCTATTAGCTCATCTTTTTTTTTTCTAGGAACTCAAGTTGCATTTAAATATTTTTCTGTAAAGTTTAAATAGTTTTAAACATCTGTTTCCAATATTCTGCCTCTGTGACAAAATCAAATTAATACCAAAAAGATAAACAGTTTGGTCAAACTTGTATTTTGAAGTTTCAATTGTACACAAAACACTAGAAAAAACAACAAAAAACATGATCATACACCAAGAAGGCAGGTTTACATCATCTCCAAGACAGTGGAAGCACACACAGAGAACTAAAAATTAAATCAGCACAGTTGCACTGTCTTCCACACCTCATATCATGGATTTATGAAAAGTTAAAAAAGGAGAAGATGGAAGTCTAGGGTATTTCAGAGGAAGTAAGAAGTTGTAAATATGCAGGTTTAATAAATAGAAGTGTATAAGGAGGGAACCTGTCCTCACAGAGAGTGCTGTAGACCTCTCCCAGCCAGGATCAGAAGGACAAGAATGAGGTCCAACACCTACAACTCTGCATTTGTAATCTCAGACTCTGGAGAATCCTGAAATGAGATGCTCTCCAAAGGAACCTTCCCACAGACAGAAGGAAGGTTAAACTTGCTGCTTAAAAAAATCCTGATTTTAGCACTAGGCTGTATTTACCCAGAAGATGATCAGCAGTTGTACTACCTAAGCCTGCAGAGAAAGACGAAGAAAACATTTGAACATGAGATGACTCTCTTGTGGTCTAGCTTTTGATCATTCCCCTTCAATTTCTGCCTGGGAAGATGAGACTTTGCCTGACTTCCTATTCCTGAATGGCTTCTATAATCCACAGCAGCCTGACATCTGCCTTGTGGCAGAGACACTGCCATTTAATCCAGCAGAGGAAAATTCCAACTTTGATTTCTCCATTTCTTCTTCATTCAGGTAATTTCTGTTGGCACATTTAAATGTCAGGTAGGTAAGTTTTAATTATCGAAGACTTCTCTTTCAAAAAAAAAAGAAAAGACAAACAGAAACACGATGTGTCCTTCATCTGATCCAACCCTGCGCAACAGAGAATTATAGCTGCCATGAAGTCAGGCAGTGCAGTGCTAAAGGTTAATTTATAAACACAGTCAGAAATTACTAGTTGTACAGCGTGGCCGGGTTTCATTTCTGGAATTTATCTTCCAGTAATAAACCAAAATATAGCTTCTCAACCATCTGAAACCAAGACCATCATTGTGGCATGCACTTGACTGTGTCCAGGGCTAACCAAACAATTCACGGTCTTGATATGGTGTATTCTAACAGAATGCAAATGAGAGAAACCAAAGGAAACCTAATACCAACCTTAGCTCTGATGATTTTTTTAAAAAATGTTTTAAGAGTCTTGGGATTTGAAGAGTCAGCTTGACAGCCTGAAAACTGGCTAACAGTTTGTTCACAGTTAAACACAGCGCTGAGAGGAAATCTGTTCTAAAACCAGCCAAGTGGTTCAAACTGCCTCTAAATATCACACCCCCACAGCATTTTCCAAGTGAGTCTAAGAATTTAGCAGCTGTGAAAGCAATACAGAAGGCTTCAACAGCTGAAATTAAAGAGTTTAAATTCAGTTCTGCTCACATCTTTCCCAAAAGGAGCACATCATACTGCTCCCAGTAACTCACGGGAACCACCCCCCAACTATAAAATAGGAAAGACGTCTGCTACACTCCTCCGATACAGAACTACAGTTTACAAAGCTTTTAAGTACATTGCACTTCGAAGCCTCCAGTAAGACCACAGTGGCTCTACTGGATTAAAGAAGTCACCTTGTGTTTTTCCTCCATAGGACAGCACAGAGACCCAAACGTGTCCTGATTAACGGCTCTTGCAAACTACCAAACTATGCAAAATATCAAAGGTTGATAATGGATATAAGATGCAAATGTCATAGCTAGAGACTAAATAAAACAAAGCAATACTTACGTGATTGCAGTCTGAAGAGATTTCATTATCTGGCTGAAAGGAGAAAAAAGGAGTGTCAGTTCAATACTGATGTGATGCATTACCATAAACTTACAGGAACTAACATACTGTCAACTCATTTTCATTGTAAGAAACAATTTTACATAAGCAATAGGAAATTTTAAAACCTGCATAAGTGATGATATCTAAGTACCAAAAAGATCCAAATAACAGGTACCTTAGACACAATGCTATCTTAACTCTACCGAACATAAATGGCACAGGAGTAGCAACATTTATGTAGATGCTGTAAAAACATAATGAATGCACCTGTGTTTGGCCCAATTGCCCAAACTAAGGCAGCAAAAAAGCATCTGTGGGAAAACAAAGATGCAGCAGTAAAATTTTAAAGAAAAATAAGTTTCATGCATACAACTGAAGGAGAAAGGTAGAACTCGCTTCCCTTCCCTAGACTGAAATGTTCTTATGCCCCATCTGAGAAGCAAAATCTTTTCTTTCAGCTGTACATAAAGGGGCCAGTCTAAAGCAGCCCCGAAATTTACAACTTCAGCACGAGAAACTGGTAACATCCCATATTCATACATCACTTAAAAATATTTTCTATATTCTTAATTTTATAGTAATGAAGGTACTCTGTTATATACTCAAGACAATCCAACTGACAAGTCCTAACACACAACCTCCACCAGACCAGTTAATGTGTTGGAGAGAAACACCCATGCTCCACAAGACCTGTGGCTGCAAACCATCCTGTTCTCCTTCTAGCCTGAGTAGCTTCCACAATGGAGAACTCCTTGAAAAAAGTTAATCATACAAATCCCTATCTCATCTCCATAGCAAGCCAGGACAAAAATCACTGGCCCATTATACCCACAGAAAAATCAACCCTGACTCAAAGAGTCTGCTTCCACCGATATTTAAGATGCCAGACATGCTCCAAGAGCCACAGACACTCAAAACCGCTCAAAGCTTAAACAAACACATCACTGACACCAACACATCAGAACTCAGATATTTGTTGTAAGAAAACTAGCATTTCATCAGTTTTGGACACAAGCAGCCTATACCCAAAGAGTTTTTCAGTGCAAGCTTGTGCTGTTGGATGACACTGCATGTCGTATAGCTGCACAACTTGCATCATTGCTGCTTCAGAGAGCACAAACACAAATGTATGGCAAAAAAAAGAGCATGGGAAATATTTCCAAGTCCTTTATTACAGCCATTATTAACTAAAGAACTTTTATTTTGTATAGCAGGAAGTGGCAGAAATAACCTTTCCACTTAGAACATAACAACAAAATGGTACCTGAAGGATCATAGTAATTAATTGCAGTTTGGTCAGACCACCACCATCTAAAACCATATCTCCCAAAGTAACCATGAATTTGAAAATTAGGATACCAACTTTTTTTTAAAGAAAAAAGGCTAGCAGATGCCTGCTTATTGTCTTCAGACTGCAGAATTGATTCTCACAACTGAAAACTAAGATGGCATCCAAATTATAGGATTTTAAAGCAGCCCGTAAATCCAACACTATCGTGACTTACAGGGTGTTTTTTCCTGAATTTTTGCACCCATTCTAATCATCCAACAACAGATGGAGGGTTTGGACTAAGCTAATTTCAAAAGCTGAGAGTCAGAACGCCCTCCACTGAAGTTGGTGTCTCGGTCTTTCAGTCAAGGATAGTTTCTTTATATAGGCTAGCACTGTAATTCTCCTCTGGAGGACAGGACTTACTTACACATCTGCAAGCAGAAGAATAAGAACTGGAAAGCACTCTCCCCAACCCCTTCTTGGTTGCTGCAGTTAAGAGTTTTGCATCCTCCAACCTAATAACCTTTGTTTCAGATCCACCAAAGATTAAAGCTAAGTTTTTCTGGAAAGATGAGCCTAAGAAGATAACAGACTGGTTCTCACTGACTGGGGAAGCTTAAACAAGCTTTTCTTGAAACACACAACATTAAAATACCACACATTGAAATATCAGCTTTCCCTGCACTCTGCAAGCAAACCTCAGCTCTGAGCCATCAAGACTTACTCTTCTGAGAAGAGTAACAGAAGTTAAATGGGACCTTAACTAAGATTTAGTACTGCATACATTCACAGTTCAGTATTTAAATATGCAAAAGCATAAGATCTAGCCAATAATCCTTTAAATGTGGAACAAGATGACCACCTGCTAGCTAAAAGCTGTGATCCTTCTTCCCTCTTACCATTTCAAGTGTAGGAGAGGTAGTTTCAGTGGCAATGCTGACCTGCTTCTCCCAATTTAAGTGAAGCAAAAGGAGAATAATAATCCTTTTTATCTTGTGTCTGATGAACTGGCTGAGTTCGAGGGGAAAAAACCTCCCCAGCACAACCCACACCAGTTCTGCCTTTCTAAGGAGACAGCCTGTGGCACTCTATCCGCTACATCCACCCAAGAAACCTTCCGAACAAGAGCAGTTTCAGAACAATATGCCTTGTGTAGTAAGTCATGAAAAAAAGGTAAGTTTCATATTACCATTAAGCAAAGTTGAGGAGCAAGAAAAGCTGCATTGTGTCATCCCCACATGGTGAGCTTGAGGAACACAGATACTCAGAGACCTCCCCCTAGGGCAGAGGGAAGGAGGAGAACAGCCCAGATCTGCACCACATGCGAATTAAGGCATTTTAGGAGAGGAAGCTGACAGCAAGGAGGATGTTCCACCGATTAGTGAGGGAGAAGGACTCCTCTTACATCTCCTAATTGAAGGTTTAAAAACAGATTTACAGAAAGCACATGTGCCTCTGGGCTCACAGAAACTTTTGCTGTTTAGCAGCTTCGGTGGGAATATATTGCCTTTCTTTGCAGTTCTCTAAAAAGCTCTCCAAACTCCTTCATGCACTAACACTCAGCTTCCAGAGTATGAACACCACTTCCTACCTCCCAGGAAAAGCAGAGTTTAGGGCAAGTACTAGCTGTAAGAAAACCTGAACAGAAAAATCATTTCCTTCCATTCAACCACAAAACAACAGACACAAATCACACAATTAGTATTGTGAAGTCTACAGAGAAATTCGAAGGTTTGTATGAAGTTATATCACCACCAGACTATGAAGTCATCAACACTGTGTTGGGTTTAAAAGTGCCTTTTCTCACTCACCAGATCTCAATTCACTGAAACAAGCTGTGTCAGACACCCCTTTCTAAACCTCTCTGCTGCAGCAGTGGTATTAAACTAGGTCAAAATGATACAGCAAGTGAGCAACCCACCACCACTACCCATGCTCAAGGAGACCCAAGGTGTTGGTGTTTTAGCTTCAGAAATGGACCACTGTCATACTGGTTCCCAGCAATACTTATTTAGTCATAGCTATACCACAAACCAGTGTCATGCATCACCATCTAGTGAAGAGCACACTGTCTGCGGTGTGATTACTATCACCCCCACAGCTCGAGAAGCAGGGGCCCTTTCAGCTGCGTTTGCAACACAGACTTGATTTGTTCTTATTTCATCACATCCTAAAAAATAATTTACACCACTGGATTTTGAAAAGCAAGGTAAGAATCCTAATCAACTACTGTAGATGAAACTCAAGGTCTTGGGAGAACTCTCTGCAGGGATTACTGTAATCACCAGCAGCTGCCTGACCTTCCGTTCCTTTGCTCCCTTGAAAATGTCACGCAAATAGAAGAGTCTGAAGTCAACTGCCCTAGGCCTTTATTCCCAAAATGTAATCCCTCTTTAGAGCAGGAAGAGGGTATGACAGCAGACGTTTCCAGTATTCTTTTAAGGCAGGAGTAACAGTGCACTGGATGAAAAGTAAGGACCAGGCACATCTCAAACATCAAATACAAATAATCTTCAGGTATTGAAAACAACACGCTTTGGACTCACTCAAGCAAAAATCTCCAAGAACCAGCATAGAGCAAAACAGCAAAATAGAAATGCAATTTGCTTGTGGATGGGAGGAACCCAGTAGATGTTCTCTTTCTGAATTCAGGAACAGATTGCAAAAACAAACAGGTCAATTAGGTAAGGACATTAATTAAAGCAACTACCTTCCTACAAAAGAGAGGGTAGGAAGAAGTCCAGTCAGACTGCAGATGTCCAGTTTATTGCATTGTCACATGCATGATGCCCTACAGAGCACGGTGTATATGGATAAGCAGTACAGGCAGCTCATGGTTCCTAGCCACTGCAATGAAGTTTTCCACTCTGACCTAAACACACATAGTTATCACTAATATCTGTAAAGAAATGGTACAGCAGGCCTGCTGACCTGGGAGCTTCTAAGGAGGAGACTATCAAGCTGATAAAGTGAAAACTGACTTCTTAGCTGTGTTCTTCCCACAAATAACAACGATCCCTCTGCATCAAACAAACCCAGCTCAGACAGAAAACTCACAATAAAATGATTCAGTCCACAGGTATCAAGCTAGCTAGACTTAGGACACCAGAAAACAGCACAGGCTAGATGCACGATAGCAATCAAGAAGAGATCTGGGGGAACCACCCTCCTGCAAACCTGATCCCTGTCTGAGGCAACTGCTAGAAATGATTCTGTAGAAGAATCTGTGGAAACAAGAGCAGATACAGTAGTCTAGGCAAGAATCAACACAGCTTTTGTAAAAGAAGAAAAACCACACATCACACAACCACCCATGCTTCAAACCTACTGAAACATCCTGGAGTTCTGTGCCAACAAGCATATGGCTACAGTAAACCGTGTTCACACATCCTGCAATCCTGAAAGAGTCATGTGTGATAAAAAAGTTAAAACCAGTGATAATTTAAGTTCAAAACAGATGAAAAGACTTTGTGATTTAATTACACATTTAGTGAGCAATAAAAGTTAAACTTGTTAAGCTGAGCTTGAAATATTCTCCAACACCAGTGAACTGTTAGTACTAAAAACAAACCCAGTGTTGTTATGTCAGCAAAAAACCTCTACACTTATCATTCATGCTTTGAAAAAAAAAAAAACAGTTTGAGGTATGGTGCTGTGCATATATCATGCACTAAAGTTACCAAGCTCCTAGCTTCCATATACTTTGCTTATTTCATAT